TCTGTGAAGCTCTTGATCTGGTATTGGTTAACGCCCAGGTAAAATGTGATGGAAAAATAACATGGGAGAGAAAGAACTCACACTCGACTATCGACTACTGTTTAATGTCACGGAAGATATACAACAGACTTGGAGGTATGGAAATAGATGATGAAAGCACAAAAAGTTTGGGGAGCGACCATAAGAGAATCAAGATCAGATTTGGCACAGTAAAATCAGAAACGCAAAATCAAAAACAAGAGGGTAGAAATAACTTAAATGATAAACAATTACAGGAGGTATCTAAGCGGATCGAGAACATAGTGTCCAAGCTACCGGAAAGAGAATGGACATATGAAGACTTAGTTACTGTTTTCAAAAGAGAATTAGAGAAATATCGAACCAGACAAGGAGGAAGGAAACATAAACGCAAGCTCAAAAGCTGGTGGGATAAAGAGGTTAAGGCAGCAATATCGAGACGCCAAGCGGCATCTAGAGAACACAGATGGGCAAAAAATAAGGGGGCCACTCCAGCCGAAGTGACAGCAGAATGGGAGGACTTTCAGGAACGAAAGCGGGAGGCATCAACATTAATACAGGCCAAAATTGGGAGGGCAGGGGTCCAGTGGATGATAGAGATAAACCAAAAGGATAGGAATGCGGCAAAAAGGTTCTGGGAACACATCAGTGCACAGGGAAAAAAGACTGAGGAGTACCAGCAGACACTAATCACACAGGAAGGGACAAAGGTAGAGGGGGAAGAGGCAAGGGAATACATTAGACATACAATCGAAGCAGCATTTTCAGAGTTAGAATCAGATCAGGCCATAGGGAATAATAGCATCTACACAACACAAGAGGAGGATCATAGTGAAGGAGAGGAAACGACCATAGGGGAATGGGAGAAAGCAGAAGGAAGGGTTCCGGCTGGAACTGCGACAGGTCCAGATGGCATACCAATGAGACTGATAAAAGTTCTAGGCCAAACAAGCAAATTGAAACTAAGGCAGGTGATTGACCAGATACTTATGGGAGGGGAGGTACCCAGTGACTGGAAATTGAGCAGAATGAGATTATTATATAAGGGCAGTGGAAACAAAGACAGTATCAAATCATACCGACCAATCACAGTAACTTCAGTAATATACAGACTAGCTATGCAAATCGTAAAAAGAAGAATGGAAGAATGGGCAGAGAGAAAGCAGATTCTGGGGGAGCTCCAAAACGGTTTCAGGATGGATAGACGATTAGATGATAACTTGTTCATAATCACTCAGTGCATAGAGATAGCAATAACATGCCAAAGGCCATTATGGGTAGCATTTTTGGACATCAAAGGGGCATATGACAATGTGAATCAGGAAAAACTTTGGGAACAGCTAAAAGGGTATGGCCTAGGGGGAACCACGCTTAAGTTCCTAGAACGGGTTTATACGGAGAATAGGGTGATTATAAAATGGGAAGCCGAAACTACAAAACCAGCAGCAATAAAAAGAGGACTTAGACAGGGTTGCCCATTGTCTCCCCTGCTCTTTATGATATACCTCAGTGAGATGGAAAAAAGATTAGAACAGTGCAACCTAGGTTTTGACCTGAATTACATGGAGGAAGGACATAAGGTAAATCAACTATTGCCAGGGTTAATGTATGCAGATGACATTGTACTCGTATCAGAAAGCCGTGAGACAATACAGGAACTGATTAGAATTTGCAGCGGGGAAGGGGACAGTTTAGGACTAAAATTCAGTAGGGACAAGTCGGGTATAATAGTTTTCAACGATGAGAAGGGGGAACCCCTGGAGATACAGGACACAGTGATAGAACACGTAGAAAAGTACAAATATCTAGGGGTCTGGCTCAATGAAGGAAGGAAATATCTAGAGGAACACGAGGAGAATACAATTAGAAAAGGGAAAAGAAATTCATCTATTATGAAGCTCAAGGCACTATGGAACTATAACAGATATGAAGTGGTCAGAGGTATATGGAAGGGAGTGATGGTGCCAGGACTGTCTTTTGGCAATGCAGTGCTGTGCATGAAATCTGAGGTTCAATCAGGGCTAGAAATTCGACAAAGAAGCGTAGGCAGATTGGCGCTGGGAGCACATGGAAAAACACCAAATGAGGGAGTACAGGGGGACATGGGATGGTCGTCTTTTGAGAGCAGGGAGGCAATTAGTAAGTTGAAATTTGAACAAAGGTTGACTGAAATGGAGGATACGCGGTGGGCACGTAAGGTATTCAAGTATTTATACATGAAAAGTTTAAACACAAAATGGACAAACCGAACCCGAAAGCTTACATTTAAATATCTACACACTGGTGATAGGGCTGAACAGACTGCGTCAGTGAAAAAGAAGGTGAAAGAGGCGGAGAGGAAAATGTGGGAGGGGAGAATGCAGGAGAAATCAGCTTTAGCAGTGTACAGGTCACGAAAGCAGGAGATAAGAAAGGAAAAGCTATTTGACAATTCACTGGGAAGTGCTTTGCTGTTCGAGGCAAGAACGGGAGTTTTGAGGACAAGGACATATAGGGCTAAATTTCAGGAGACCGACACATTATGTGCCGCCTGCCATAATGATAGCGAGACACTGGAGCACTTGGTTTTGAAGTGCACGAGGCTTCGTCCTGCCCTCCCTGAAGGGGTAACGGATTTGGCCGGGGCCCTGGGTTTCACTGGCGACGATGGAAGGATGGTAGAGAAAAAGATTACAGTGACAAAGAGACGATTAGAAGATTGGTGGAAATTATCTAGGGAAAATTAAATGATGGACAACTAACTAGCACAGCTGGGAACAGGCGGGACAGAGGAAAATTAGGACTCCCTCCCGCGTGGCTCCGGCCCAAAGTCTCAACCCTGTCTCCCAGTGGGTCCGGTGCTGGGGTAACGCCGAAAAGGTTTGACCAGAGGAAAATTGGCGACTCCCTCGCCGGGGGGAAGAGGCAGGGGGGTGATGTTTTTTAGTTTTTTTGCCCGATCCCCCGAAGGTCATCCTGGTGATAGTTAGGGGGAGAAAAATGTTTTTGTCTTTTTAGACTTAGGCTAGGTGGCGCAAGCTACCGCCCGTTACAAAGGGAATAGACATTAACATCAGAGCTCTGATTCAGAGCCGTAAATGTAGAGAGTTTGGCCATTCGTTGGGAAGTATAGGAGACAAATGAAGCGGCGCCATTGGCCGAAAGCGGGCTGGGCGTGTTCCAGGGCGTCTTGAGAAATTCGAATGAGACCAACCAGAAGCCGGAAATACCCTGGCGGTGGTCGCGAGAAACAAACCTGATAACTGCAATAGAGTAACTCTCGATGACTGAAAATATGGTACACGTGATGTTTCAATCACACTCATCTAAAATGATGGTGGAAGAGTGCGACTAGCGGAAAGATCGACATAATCATTACGCCAAACACCGAGCGCCGGGAATCTGCCGTCAGAGCGGTCACACTCTGTCCGCGCAAAACAGAGTAGAGCGGCGCATTCGTTTCTTACATCTTTCTGCATGATCATGATGAAACAACACGTGCACCCTATTTTCAACCACAAAGAGTTACTACACTTCACTCTTACGCACTTATTAAAACCATATACGAACATAGACCTTCGATGATCGATCGGCTCAGAACTGTTTCTTGCTACCACCGCTAGGGGATTCTTTTCGGCTTCTGGTTGGTCAAGAGAGCATGCCAAGCCCTCTTTTCGAGTTTGCCGCACGCCCTGGCTCTGCCCCCTCTGCCCGCGCCTCCCATTGACCAAACTCTCTACATATACGGCTCTGTCTGATTAACATCCATCAGAGCCGTGTATAGGCTCCTTGCACAAGACGTCATTTCCGTTGCCCTCCAAAGAAGAGGGGAAGAAGGAGCTCCCCTCTTATCAGGACCCTCCTTTGTACCTCCCGGATTTGTACAGGCGTCGCTATTCTCCCCCCAGAAGATTATAGAAGATCAACCTGTCACTCAAAATTCTTACAAAAGCAGCTTCCCTCTCCTCCTCTTACTTGGTGTTCAAAAGTGTGCGATGTGACGTCAGTGCAAGGAGCCTATTGAGAGAACCATTTCGTCGTTTACCCTGAGACTGGGGTAAACGACGAAATGTCCGGGAGTGTCCGCTTCTTTTGTGATATAGTGGAACCTGTAAAGTCACGGTGCAAAGGACAAGTCGTATGTGATTGGTTGTTGACGACGAAAACGAACTATATAAGAGGAAGTTTTTGAAATAAACGTGTAGCTGAGTTTGAGACCTGTCTGTTTTTTCTGTTTCTTCTGCTCTTCAAAAACCCCCCCCAGTCTCAGGGTAAACGACGAAATGGTTGACTTCCACCAGCTAGCCTGTACTTTGACTCTTTTCTCGTTATTGAGAGAGTTTGGTCAATGGGAGGCGCGGGCAGAGTCAGGGCGTGCGGCAGAGTCGGAAAGGGGGCTTGGCATGCTCTCTTGACCAACCAGAAGCCGAAAAGAATCCCCTAGCGGTGGTAGCGGCAAACAGTTCTGATCAAAACGATCAAAAGTCTATGTTCGTATATGGTTTTAATAAACGCGTAAGAGTGAAGTGTAGTAACTCTTCGTGGTTGAAAATAGGGTGCACGTGTTGTTTTGATCATGATCATGCAGAAAGATGTAAGAAACGAATGCGCCGCGCAACTCTGTTTTGCACGGACGTTCGGACGGCAGATTCCCGGCCCTGGGCGCTTGGCGTACGGATCATGTCGATCGTTCCTCTAGTCGCACTCTTCCACCATAATTTTGGATTAACGTGATTGAAACATCACGTGTACCATATTTTCAGCCATTGAGAGTTACTCCAATGCAGTTATCAGGTTTGTTTCTCGCGACCACCGCCAGGGTATTATTTCCGGCTTCTGGTTGGTCACATTCGAATTTCTGAAGACGCCCTGGAACACGCCCAGCCCGCTTGCGGCCAATGGCGCCTCCTCATTTGTCTCCTATACTTCCCAACGAATGGCCAAACTCTCTACATTTACGGCTCTGACATCCATCCATCCATCCATCCGCAATCATTATCATTACGAGTTTACGAGTTTACGACGACACACGACGATCTAAGATTCAAAACATGCGTTCGACCATTCGCGACAAGGTTGTTGTATCGAGGCCGTCGAGGAGATGATCTGCGGAACAACGCTACGAGGCTCCGCGACCGTTGTAGGTTCCCTGTCGCGGGTCTGGCTCGGACGGCGGAGCCCGGCGAGTCTGGGCAGTCGCATCTGCCGCACCGTCGCTTACGCCACCGCGACCGAAGACCCGAACCGGGGCCCTCGACGCCACCGTCTCCGGACCGTCCTCTTGACCGGCACCGCGACCGCGGGTCTCCTAGTCGGATGGGGAACTTCTCGAGCCCACGCCAAGCAAGGTAGCCCTCCCGATCCTCTCGCTCAAACCCTGACAAAGCAGTCCCGAACGAGCGCCGTTTTGCAGAACCGAAGAGCCGTGCCGACGATCCGGTGCCCGGCCTCCCGGAGTACTCGGCGGACGACGTCGCGCGACACGCCACCAAGGAGGACAGGATCTGGGTGTCGTACAAGAGCGGCGTCTACGATGTCACCGACTTCGTGGACATACATCCTGGCGGGGACAACATTCTGCTAGGGGCCGGCGGAGGCATCGACCCCTTCTGGAACCTCTACGCGGTCCACAAGACTCCGGAGGTACTGAAGTGCTATTGACGGAACTCATTGGACGCTAGAAATTGCTTTCGGACTTAAACCCATTATTATTATTATTATTATTATTATTATTTTTATTTTTACTATAGTCACTGACAGAATGAGAACGGCAGGGCGCGTCTTTTAAACGCCCGGCCTCCAGTACGCGATACATGCCTTCCGCCGTGCCGAGGTACACGAGACGTAGATGCGTTGTCGAAGGTAGGATGCTTGCGCTGAAGGCGGTACAACTGAAGCTCCTCCTTGTCGTTCTCACCTTGTCAGTGACTACGGCCGGATAGACCCATGACTAGATTTTAAGGCGATGAAGTTGTGATTCAATGTGTTCCGTCGAACCGCTTCGCGCGCGCGCGCCCAAATTGTGTTCAGATTCTGGGGATGCTGGAGGGATTCCGCATCGGCAACCTCAAGGCCAGTGACGTCGGCGCGGCGACGGCCGGTATCGACGACCCGTACGCAACCGACCCCAGGAGACATCCCGCGCTCAAGCCGGCTTCGGTGAAGCCGTTCAACGCGGAGCCTCCGCTGACCATCCTCGCGGACAACTACAAGACTCCCAAGTGAGCTGCCGTGTCTCGATAGGATGCGTCAGAAGTTTTGATAACATAGCAGCATCGCTCCTCCTTTTTATTATTATTATTTTTTTTATTTTTTTTTTTTTGTAGATAAGAGAAAGGACGTGGAAAGAATTGTGGAGCCTCAGACACTTGAGGCGACCATATGACAGTAATGTCAAGTGTCCCTGCCAGGAGGGCCTCTGTCGCATCGCCTTCTTTGGCAGGCAGTAAGGTTAAGTGGTTCCAGAAGACAGGCAATGCAAGACTGAAGTACATCACAGTTGTGGCACCCAAATGTTTGCAATTGGTGACACCAATTGCCATCATTTTTATCTTGTGTCTCATGGCATATAATGCATTACATTGTAAACTCTGTCCTTTCCTAATGCTTTAAACTTTATTCAGATACTATCATTTCTTGGAATACAATAGGAGTGGCATACTACGAAAAAAGGCTCGAGGTACACCTAGGCACTTATGAGTTGTGAATGCGAAAGTATGCATGTCATTCTCCCTCTTCCTTATTTCGTCTGCATACATATTTGCGTCGACGGCAGAGTGCGCCCTCTCCTCGCCGCTGTGACCTTGGATGCTTCGTGTTACCGGCGCACTGATGGACACGCTGCGCCATGGGGTGGCAGTCGTTGAAACTGACGCGCAGCGGCCAATGGAAGCCTCGTTCCTTGAAATGACACGCGCCAGCCAATGGGGCCGAAGCCGAAATCCATCAGCTTTACTCCGCTCCTTTGGGATCAAGAAAACTAAGTGCTGTTTAGCTAGGCTTTTCGCGTGGTTTTATAGCTGGGAGCTGGCTTCACTTGGAGAAAGGATTTAAGGTGCTGTTTGACCCGGCTTCAATACTGATGATGTCTGCTCGCTCCATAAGACAGTTAATGCTTTTGCATTAAAAAAAAAAAAAACGCAGAAAAAAGGCCCACCCAAAGTGCAGAAACAAACAACTGATTCTAGCTTTCCCCTCCCCCTCTCTTCTGCTAGCTGTTGGCAGGTGCAACGGATGTTTAGCTATTGCACCTGTCAAAAACTGCACAGTCTAAAGCCTGTCGTGTTTGGACATCCTTTGACCTTTATTGGGCCAGGAAAAAAAAAAAAAAAGACAACGAAACAAGTGCAATCTAGAAACGCCATTTATCTGTTTTTTTTTGTTTGGCACTCTCACCCATTATTGGTAACTTGTAACAAATTGTTAGACGTGGAAAGTTTGAGCTTGTGAGGCCAAGCAGAATACTTCCTTATTCGTGAACAATTGGAGCAAAGCACAACTGGTTTCTTGGTGGCATAAGCCACAAAGGTACGATTAGAGTTAGCCAGTTGTACCATGTTTCCCAGCAGCCCAAAGAGCAACTGCTAAAGCAGTGCTCCTTTCTACGACGCCCCAAGCTGCCACAGCCATTGTGCTTCCTGGGGTTTCTTTGTCCTCTTTCCCTTTCCTTTTATGTTGCACATCCCAGGTGGCTGTCATAAAGCTGCACCTACACTTATGTTAACCGAGTTTCAGGTTTTTTTAGATATCAGTCTCCAGCAGAATGGAGAACATGCAAACTATTCTTTGTGCGTTATTCGCTTAGCCTCATGCATTAAACAGCAGCGATTGTAGGATGTGCCACCACCTGGAAGTTGCCTAAATGTCGTAAACATGCCAGTAAGGGTATTTAATGTTTTACTAATTAATGGAATGATTTTGAGATTTAGCAAGGTCTGCAATTTATGGGGAATACTTTTCAGCCCTTGGTTTTTGTGATCCCAGAAACAATTGTGCACTGTATTTTGCAATCTGGCAACTACTGCCTGCAGATAGTGTGCGGTGTCGCCGGCGCTCATTGCAAAGAGCCACCGGAGCAAAATCTCTGCTGCGCTCCTAATTCTTTTATCATAATTCAAAACATGCAGATTGAAATATCCATCATTAAACATGTCCGCTTTCTTTTCTGTATCAAGTCAACAAGTGTGACGACATTTTTCAGCTGTGCAACACAAAGTTGTTCCGTGTTTGGTGCACATCAAAATTTCCTACCAGCTAAGATCCAAGATTTCTTTCGTGGGCTCTTTACTTGGGGACCTGATCCCAGAAATGTTTTAATCAAGACATGCAAGGCGCCTAACTTCTCATTTGTCTTTAAATGTGTCCCTCAACAATGGTGAAGAGGAAGATCTTTTCACGTCTCTTGCATCGGTGCAGTGAGCTGTTTTATGTGCGGAACCACCTGCCAGTCCCTGATGTCAACCCCGAGGATTATGTGCTAGAAGTGGAGAGCATCGATGGTGAATCTCAGGTGCTGACCCTCGAAGACATCAAGACCAAGTTTGAGAAGGTGACCATCACGTCGGTCGTGCAGTGTGCCGGCAACCGTCGCTCCGAGCTGAACAAGGTAATTTTTGCCATCGTCTTGCCCTTATGGGTTTGACCTTCCTCTCACTCACTACTTTTACGGTGATGGCTGTTATGGGCACTTCCCACTACTGGAAATGACTTCTATCAATGTCGTAGTAAGGTGTAGGGCGCCCGTCGTCGGTATCGCCAAATCTTTGAAGATTGCCTGCTTCCACGGAATTCGATCCTGGGTCCGCCGCGTGTGAAGCTGGCGCGTTTCCACTGGGTTACGCCACAGCTTTGACTGGGTTGCCTCAATGTCCTTCTGTTTAGGGCGATGGCATTCTTTGTAGTACCCGATGCCGACTGCATCTACATTCTGAAAGATATGAAGAAATAGCCGCTAAAATGCCTTCGTAGCGCTGTCCATGCCAAGAGCTCTTGCCGGGAGACGCGCTTTCACGCACTCCGGAACAGAAAAGAAACGACAGCCTTCAGAACCATTTTGTTCAGAATGCTCTTGGTTATGGAAATGCCCAAGGACTTCACCGTGACCCGTCGCAGCTACCGTTGTAACTGTATTGTCAATTAACAGAGGACTGCTCTTTTTTTTTTTTTGATAGTGCAGCTTTTAGGCGCTTGTTTTCGGGTTGAGCAGCGTCGCCGTCGGCGTAATTGTGCGTTTTATCAAGGGACCTCACAGTTTCCTCGCTAATTTTAGCGGGGAAACTGAATTGGTTGTGAGGCCACGTGACGTCAATTTTCCCCCTTAATTTAGCGGTAAAATTTCCCCGTTAATTTTAGCGGTGAACTTATTTATTGCTACATTTAGCGGGAAATTTAGCGAAAATATCCTGCTAAATAGGTGGAGGGAGTGCAGCTCCTCCACCTATTTCGGTGGAAATTAGAATTTTGCATTACAGTGAATTGTAAATGTCTTTCATTTTTTCTTCTCTTATCTTTGTTTATCTACTTGTTGGAAGCAATGTCCGTAAAGCAGCAAAATTACTTTCAGGTAGATCCGAATCTATTGAAAGGACTCGGGAAAATCCAACGTTAAGACACCTGGACTGTCGTAACTGCAAAGGTACTTGCATGGTTTGGGCAGAAAGGCTCCATAAGCAGTCAGTATTGTACCATACAGAGCTAGAGAAGTGTCTAATTGATAGCATGCAAGTTATTACAACTATTAATTACAATTCTAGTAACTGTAAATTAGCTACAGTACTGGTGTAAATTGCAAATTAGAACAGTTACAGTTACTTTTCAAAATGATGTTAACAAACACAGAAATTCACATTGATTGAATCTCAACACGACAGCTACACATTACCACTCCCTGAAACTGTAGCAGGAGTAGAGTGCTGAATCAAAAATGGAACGGTGCCGTTATTGCTTTTGGGCTGAGAACTGAGCCGTCGGTCTGCAGTCACAACACGCCTCAACGTCATTGGATATTTTCTTAGTGGAACAATATAAATAATGGGAAGAACATCAGAATCAGAATCAGAATCAGTTTATTTTTGTCACAGCGCTTTTACACACATGTGACAAGGGGGGCCAGGAAAAAAAGCTGCAAGTTTGCAGCTTGACGGGTTCCTGCCCCCAAAAAACACAGGGCAGAGCGGCACTGTCATCAAAAAAACACACAAAAAAACAGTGAAAATAACTGATGTAACATGATATTTAGCAATATATTAAGCATCGTCTCAATACACATTGAGATAGATATAACAAACATAAGGCAAAGAATCTATTTATTACCGGCAAGTTTAAGTTTTATGGACATTTAACGAAAGTTTACCAACACTCATCTCCAGACACGAAAGAAAAACACAATAAAGATAACTTATATAAGATATCGCATAAAATAAGTGTCATTGGAAATAGGTTGCGCTTCAAAAACAGACTGAAGTAGAAAATATACCAAACATATGACAAACATTTTCACTCAATATAAGAAAGCCTCAGTTCTATGGGCATTTAATGAAGGTGAATCAACTTCTTGGGAATATAAGGTGTTCAACAGTGACGGTAATCTGTAACTCAACCTCTGGAAGCCAAAATTAGTTCTAGATGATGGGATTCTCCATGGACGCCAATGGCGTGAGGAATATAATGATACATTATTTTCAAGTTTAGCGAGGTCAAAAATTACTGTAATATGTTCTCTTAAGGCACGATGATATGTGACCGTTAATCTATTAGAGTACATGTTAGATACGTCAAGTATTTTATGCTTTGCAAATAAAGGAAGAGAACTATGGTCACGTGGGACATTTTCAATTATCCTTATTGCTTTTTTTTGCATTAACCTCAACCTGTCAAAGTTACTTTTTGTTGTTGTCCCCCATACCAGGTGGCAATAACAAAGAATTGAGTGAAAAAGGGAATTATATACTAATTTTTTTATAGTTACAGGAAATACATTTCTATATTTGTTCATTATCCCTACTACTTTACAAAGTTTTTTATGTATGTAGGATACATGGGGATTCCACGACATGTGTTCTGAGAACACAACGCCGAGGGTCTTCACGCTGTCAACGCATTCTACTATATTTGGCCCAAAGTACAAATCTCTGGACAATGTGATCCGTGATCCTGGACATTTAAAAAGGACTGCTTTTGTTTTGGACGGGTTTATTGATAGAGAATTAATGGCGACCCAGTGTGTTAACTTGCGTAAAAAATAGTTTCCTTTGGAAGTGAGTAGGTCTTCTCTTGAGTCAGAAAAAAAGATGCTGGTGTCATCTGCATACATAATCAGCCTGGCGGAAGATTCTATCTTTGTAATGTCATTGACGTAAATAATAAACAACAGGGGACCTAATATGCTTCCCTGGGGAACCCCAGACGAAATACGCTGCATGTTGGATGACGAGTTTCCAATCTGAACATATTGGTGGCGATATTCTAGGTAGGACGCAAGAAGTGATAAAGGTATACCACGTATACCATAACATTTTAACTTGTCAAGAAGAGTCTGGTGGTTTATCCGATCGAACGCTTTGCTAAAGTCTATGAATATCCCTAAAGTTAAAAGTTTATTCTCAAAATTTTCTAATATTAATTCTTTCTGTACTAGTAAAGCTGTTTCTGTGGACCTATGTTTTCTAAAGCCGAATTGTGATTCCGACAACAAAGAGTATTTCCCCAGAAAATTGAAAAGTCGAGAGCACATAATTTTTTCAATGGGCTTTGAAAATATAGGAAGGATGGAAATTGGACGGTAGTTACTCAGATCATTCCTATCCCCACCTTTATAAAGAACAGAAACCTTAGCAATCTGCATCCTCTTCGGGAAGATACCGGATGATAATATAAGATTATACAAATGAGTTAAGCACGGAAGTATCAAATCCAAGACAAATTTCACAGGTCCGATTTGGAGATCCTCGCAGTCATGACTACGGCTATTTTTTATGTTCTATGTTTTATGTTCATAAATACATGTTCCCATTATTTATATTACCCTTACCAGTACCCTCTCCGTTCCAAGTGATTGGAACAGATAGTGAGTGGCTATATAGTTTAAATTTTACTGAAACTGGTTGTGAGTAACAATAACTATAAATACGCTCGTAAAAATGTAACTGTATTTGCAACTTAATTACATTTCAGCTCCAGTAACTGCAACTGTAAGTTACTTTTGCAGTTATGGTTCTCCATTATGTTTTTTGGGCCGACTCTCGTCTCAAGGACTGGCATAAAAGTGAGGCGGTTAATCGAACAGGGGGTACGCCTCTTGACTATCCTGAAAGTTCAGGTGCTTGCAGAATTTGCTCCACCGCTTTGTGCAGGGGGGAGACAGAAACGAGGGCACAGACGGACACATAGTCGTATTGTCCTTTCCATTAATCGTACAAGCTGGTCGACAGCTGCAGAAAGAGCCAATGAGCGAAGGAACCACGGATGCTCACTGCTCCTTCCTGCGCGGTGCATTTCCGTCAGGTGAAAAAGGTGAAGGGTTTGGAATGGGGCCCATGCGCCATTGGCAACGCCACCTGGTCGGGGGCGCGACTGATTGACGTCCTGCACCACCTGGGAATGGACACGGATGACCCCCGCATCGAGCACGTGGTCTTCGATGGGCTCGACCTGGACCCCACGGGGAACCCGTACGGTGCTTCGGTGCCCGCCCACAAGGCCCTGAACCCCAAGGCGGATGTCATCCTCGCGTACGAGATGAATGGGGAGCCGCTGCCCCGCGACCATGGATTTCCCATCCGGGCCATTGTGCCTGGCGTGGTCGGCGCGCGCAATGTCAAGTGGCTCGGCAGCATTCGGCTCAGCGCTGAAGAGAGCAGCAGCTTCTGGCAACAAAATGACTACAAAGGTGGGACTGGTAGTAGTACGGTGCAATCCACTTATGACGATGATGAGAAAACCCGAAAATGCAATCGTGAAAATGCAGTCGTGACCTCTAAAGCAGTGGTTCTCAACCACTGATGTTTTGTGGGCGCCTTGTGGATCGGCAAAGACGACGGAGGACTTGTTCGTGGTGAGTCGAAGGGAAAGGTATAGGTTAATTATGATAATGATTTAATAAATGTATATAACTAAGGGCTAGTGTAAAGTAGACTTCTCTCATTGACATACACACGAAAAAACTCGCCCGAAAATTAAAACAGTTCTTAGTCTGAAAAAAAAAAAAAAAAGACAACTTTTATTGCCGGGCTTGACTGATGAAGCAGGGCTTCGCGGACCCGTAGAGTGCCTTTGCAGACCCCAAAGGGTCCACGGACCCTGCTTTGAGAACTACTGCTCTAGAGACTGATCGTTATAAGCGGTACACTGTTATTAGTAGCAGCAGCCGAGTGCCACTGTAGCTTCTGCCGTGGTAGCGAAAAAACTAGTGACATGAGCGTAACAGCAGAATGGGGAGCTAGGTCTGGGTAGAAAGTAAAATCTGCACAGAGCTGCCAGCAGCAGCACGGCGCGCGGGCCACGGCTGCTGCAGCTCCCCCCCCTCCAACCTCCTTCTCGTATTTTCTGTTCTGGCCGTTCGATACTTCGGACAGGCTCTTCATAGCTGTACCAACCTAATCATATAGTCAATGCAAAGGAGCATTCTTCTTCGAATGCTATGAAAAAGTGGGTGTCGTAAATGGAAGCTCGCATCTCCGAGATTTTTTGGCGTGACCATTCATCAGCTCACCCCCCGTGCCATCTTTTATCTCAGTGAACCGTAGCCAGGAGGTCTTGCTCAATTCGGCTTCTATCAATCGTGTCCCAGTCACAGGTGTGCCAAGTAATTCTGTTGCATGTTTGTTTAGACCAGGGGTCTCCAAACGCTGGCCAGATCCAGCCGGCGGATGGCTGCAGTCTTTCTAGTGGTGCCTGGCCCAAAGCCTGTTGCTACAAACACAAAATTAAGCGACTATAAAAAAAAAAAAAATACTGCTGCGACGCGCATCGAAAGCAGGAACAAAAATGTCAGAAAGATTAAAAAAACAAAATCTGCATCAAAATACAGGTTCTTTTGCATTAATATCTATTGCACATTGCCATTACCGGCATTACTGTGTAACTATGATAAAATTTGTGCAACTATATGATAAAATTCCTTAGCATTCTCATGCATATCGTGCTTAGTGTCTCGTGTCATAACTCTTGCATATTGTCATCGGGTCTACTGTTGTCATTAGTCTTCTGCCCCGTGTGAATAAACCAAAGTTCCTATGTGCTTTTATTTATGCCTGGTGATTTCTATAAGCCACAATTATTTTGTAATCTCATAATTAGCGACATATTACATTTGAAAAAAGAACTACTAAACATAGTCATCCACCTTACAATTTTTAAGAATTGTTGCTCTGGTTTCAATTTTTGTGTTTAAATGCTTATTTAGGTTTACTTATATACTAATACCTCATTTCTATTGTATTATGTATTTTCTGGCTCTCAAGACCGTGACAGCTCTTAAAATCCGTCCCCTTAGTTAAAACGTTGGGAGACCTTTGGTTTAGACAGTAGGAAGTTAGCCCTAGTGGACATCTGATGTCTTTGCCGTGAACGACAAATTTAGCCGGTGCAGTACCACTGTTTGTGGTACACAACTGCATGCCGGTATGATGCTCGTCAAGATTGAAACACAGGTTGGGGCTGGAGCCCAGAATCTCCGGGTTCTGCAGGGTGAGCTTTCGATCCACATGCCCTGAGCTGCGGTGCCCTGGCAGGTGGTAAAGACAGGAGCAGAACATGGCAAATCGTAAGTGCTGACATCGATGGTCCAGAGAGAAAGAGGGACGGAAGAGCGGAAAAAGAAAGCACATGATAGGTTGGGCGTGTTCGTTTTGCCGCGACGACTTGAAGTTGTTTGACTGCGTGTCAACGGTATTTCATTTTAAGCAATGCGCGACGCCAATGTTATAAAGCGGAAGCTTTATAGGGCTAACCACACTCAAGGTCACGTGCCGCCTGTGGCTGAAGTGCAAGGTCGCATAATCAAGGTCACGTAAGCTCGTAAACGCCTTTAGCTGAAGTGACCCGATGTCCTCGAGGTCGTCCTAAAGATAGTTCTTGACAACGTCACCCTCGACGACGGCTTCCTAGACTTGTGGACGGCATATTACAACCTTTTCATCACAGTACCATTTCCTTTTCTGATTGTTTCCATTCAGAATGTTCCTGTAAAGCTACTGCATTTTATCGCGTTTGGTCATACGCAGATGTGTGAACGGGCCATAATTATTTCACGAAGCACAAAATAAAACTAGAAAAACAGTAAGTATGGACCCTTGCAAGTGATGTTTTCCTGCTGCTTTGTGTATATTAAAGCGTTGCCAGTGACCTGGGCCCATCGGGATCACCGATGTCCATGTTTATGCCCTGCTGTTCCAAGGTGGCCGCGATGCATGGCCATTTTTTCTTCTAGATTATTATACTAACTCTATATGCTCCGGTGTGCTAAGTATGTGTCATTCAAACATGCAGGCTTCTGCCCGTCAACCGACTGGGACACCGTGGACTTCAAGAGTGCACCAGCCATCCAGGAGCTGCCCATCACCTCAGTGGTGTGCAGTCCCACTGAGGGGTCCACGGTCAAGCTGAAGGGGAACAAGCTGCCAGTTAAAGGCTACGCCTGGAGCGGGGGAGGCCGCAGAGTGGTGCGCGTCGACGTCAGCGCTGACGGCGGGCAGACGTGGGTGCCCGCCCAGCTGCACAGCGAGGACGACACGCTCCACAAGGCGTGGGGCTGGACCCTCTGGCGGGTGAGAAAGCTCTTTCATTGCGATTTCTTTTTCCCTTTGGCCAACCACAGGCTTTTTTTATGTGGGTACCGCCACCTTGAATCGCGGTACTTCTGGTATGCGGAAAAACAGTGTTCTCCTCTCGCCACACTGAATCGAGAAAACGGCGCAACAAACACAAGGATGAGTCGAAGTGGACGGGACGAGCGCTGACTGACAACCTAAAGTTTATTGAAGAAACACTTAAAAACCAGCCATCGCAACCACCACAAAAAGTTATAAACACAAAACACTTAAAATGGTACCGACACATCAAAATATGAATTTTTTTATTACCCGAAACGATTGAAAAACAATGTCTGGACATTACCCTCAAAATTCGAAACTTGGGAATTCAGTATTTGTGAAGTAAAAAAACAATTTCCAAATGCCGAATTTGAAATTCCCGTGCAGGACGTGAAATATTGAGTCGTCCTGCAAGTCGAGTTTGACCTTTCCGAACCGCTGCCACCCGAAGTGTCGTGCTCGCCGGCATCCCGAGAACAATCGGTTTCCTCTGTGCGTGCCGCCTATCGCTGCGAGCAGACGACGCTTGACTTCCGAGTTTGAAGTTCTTTTAGGGCCCTTTCAGCAATCTCAAATTCTTGGAAATGGTGCGAGGTTGAAGAGAACATGCAATGGGCTTTTGTTAGCGACGCGAGTGGCCACGCTGCGCCGGTTCTGCGTGAAAGGCTGCCGCGGCGGAGTCGCAACCGAAACCACGATACACGGACACCAAACCTTGTTGTTTTGACCATTGGATGATTTCCTTTTCGAAGTCTGAGAGGTCATGGGCACCTAAAAAAGACCACTTCGTCTGATTACCCGACTCACCTATCATTCTCTGCTAGATGCGTCGAGCACCGCCATGTTTTCCGAGAGGATAAAAAGCCAGGAGGCTTTTTATCTTCTCGGAAAACATGGCGGATCACACCGGACTTCGATTTTCGGTATTTCAAAAAGGAGTGCCGTAGTGCATTCGTAATTACGTTAAGAAATGTGTTTTACGAATGCCGTTATTAAATGTTATAGAAATGTCGCTTACAAAGCTTGTAAATTTCATATTTGACGTCGCAAATCAAAAGTAGCGAGGAGCAGGGCTTGTACAGATTTTCTTATGTAAAATTCAAGGACTTTTCAAGTATATCAAGGGCATCAGAAAACAAAATTCAAGGAAGGTTCGAAGAAATTTATTCATTGACAGGAGTTAAGAAGTAAGCTCTTTCTTGGCAAGAATTTCTCGTTCTGCAGCAGCTATAGCTGCTTCCTTTTCTTTTTCAGTTCGGCGAAAACTATTGGCCTTGGCCAAAAGTGTCAAGTCATTTTTCACCTCAGCATCTTCTGAGAAGCAATCCCCCGACTCGAGCAGGCACTTCAGAGTTTTCCGGAGTTTCAACTTCCTCTCATGCATTCCCTCCAGCTCCATTTCAACTGCTTTTCTCTTCAAAATTTTCTGCTCACTGGCTGCTTTTTTCTTGAGCTTTTCTATGTATGCAGCTTACTTCTGCCTTCCTAGGAATACAGAAGACTTCGACAGTGGAATATTGAGCAGGCCACCGTGGTTTTTTATGGCTGAGAAACATATGAAATCTCTGCCAAGTTTTCAACAGCAATCTGCTTGTTAGCACTAAAACCCCTTTTGACGGAAGCTTGGCCATGACTGAGCAGAAGGAGCAGCTTTAGTGCTTCCCACAGTGTAGGAAAGGAAGTGTCATACTTCGTCAGGCGCTCAAAAAACTTATCAATATGCTCTTGGCTTGCAGTTCATGTTGGAACTCGTGACAAAAATTGACATACTGCTCACAGACCAGGTCTCTCTCTTATGCTCAGAAAGAAGGTTTGCATCGATAAGGCAATTCAAAACAAATTTGAGCTTCCAGAGGCATTTTTCTGTTTTTGACATTTCGCTGGTATCAAAGCAGGACAGCCCTCGGACAATTGGGTACTTGAGAGGACTTTTTTTTTTTAAAGAAGATTCAATGTAATTTAAACCAGAAACTTGCGACACTCATTTTTAAACTCCAGGATGCATATAAAGCCGGCCTTGCTGTTTTTTAGTATTTTTTCTGCTACGCGAAATGTTCAGTTTTTCCAGTTGTGCGTAGCTGCCAGGATCCTTGGGACCAATTTGTAGCAGCTCGGTGATGCTTGTGGCTTGGGTGATCATAGAACTCTTGACAAACCCCGTCACGAGGGTCCTGAGAACGCTCTCAATATCTTTTGCCAGGAGAAACGTCATGGGTGCATCACTCTGAAAAAGAGTGAGGAACAGCTGCACAATTATAGCAACATTCAAGCAGAAGTGGAGTTTCGCGAGTCCAAGCTGGTCCTTCATGAATGCGCCGATAGTTTCGAACGATCTGCTTTTAGACAAGGCAGCTTATGGTTTCTGGTGGCGTCCATATACTTTTCCAGGTGGTCCCACCATAAGAGGGCCCTCTCCGCGACGAAATCTTCTCGGCAAGCTGGTACATCATGAAACAGCGAGTACGTGCTCGTTAAAAAGCTGTCAACATGCCAGTTTGTAGTTTGCAGCCCTGTGCGCAACCCACACGATCCATCATCCGAACAGTGTACTTGAAAGTTGCTCCTGAAGTGCTGCTGGAAGTCATGAAAAAGTTTCCAATTCACATTGGGGCCATCCATCGAAAGCTGCGTGACCTTGTTCAACAGAAGAGACGCGAGGCTCTTGTCAACTTCTCAAAAAAGGTCAGCTGCTGTGCTATGACCAAGAAATGATGATGTCAAGTATTTGGTTGAAACTTCACCGTTGTTCCAAAGCCGCACATAAAGATCCAGGTGCTGTTTCTGAAGCTACTCCTCGTTCATTGTTTCGTCGAAGAGCACCACAAAGTGTTCCGATCTTTCAACCAGGTCCTGCACTTGTGAAGCAAAAAACGGCCGCAGTCCGTGGCATGCGGTGTAAGAAAACTTTTCTTCCGCTGCAGCTTCTCGCAATTTCGCTATCGGAAAACATTCCTTGAAAAACGCTGGCAATGTCCGGACAGGAGTGGTAGCGAGACGACACAGCCCTCATTGTCTACAGAATCTCCAACAATCCATGTTAAGGTTCACGGCCCACGAGGTACTTGCATCTGCACGCTGGTGCCTGGGTGTATCCGGTGCCAATTCCAATGCTGGTAGATAAGAGGTGATAGACGAGCTGGAAGCAGCTGACTCTGCTCCAGATTGATGCTTTGCGCTTTTCAAAGCGCTTTCACCCTTTGTGGCGACATCAATCGACTTTCAACAGATCGCGCACTTTGCTCAGGAGTCATTCGTATCTGGTCTCGCCCACTGGCGATAGTTTTTGTGTTCCAGCCAAGAAGGCTGGAACTTACACTTTCCACCCAGCATTTCGGCTTTCAATCTCGATTGAAAGTGTCTTACGCTGACCAACACACTCGTTGCAAAGCAAAAATGGTGCTGACACAGGACACCTTGAATTGGATTGGTTTTTATCCTTTAGAACAAACGACATGCCATGTTGCCAGACGATGTGGCCTTATTTACGCATTTGTTGGAGGATTTTCAAGGAAAAACAAGGATAGTTTCAACTTTCAAGGATAGGGCCTTAAAGGGGCACTGACACATCAAAATCGTAATTTATTTTATTATCCGAAACGATCGAAAATGATGCCGGGACATTACCCTCAAAATTCGAAACTTGGGAATTCAGTATTTGTGAATTAAAAAAACAATTTCCAAATGCCAAATTTGAAGTTCCCGCGCGGTCCGCGCCAGTGCAGTGAGTCAAATTTTGCGGTCTCCTGCGACTCGACTTTCTTTCGGACCTCCGCACCACGCTGTGAAGCAAAGCGCCGTTGCTACCGCGACCCGAAGAGAGGAGGAGGTGAGCAGGCGGGATAGAAGGGAGCCGGCGCGGCGAAAAACCGGTTTCTTCCCCGACTCGGCGATAAGCCTCTGCTCGAGCGCCGCCAAGTTTTCCGAGGGAGAACACAAATCCAGGAAGCGACATCACACTAAAATCTGACTTTTGGTATTTCAAAAAGAAAGGCCGTAGTGCGTTCGCCATTGCATTAAAAAACATGTTTTACGATTGCCGTTATTAAATGTTATAGAAATGTCGCCTACAAAGCTTCTAAATTTTCTGATTTTTGACGTCACCGATCAAAAGAAGCAAGGAGGTGAGCGCGGGAAATGGAAACGCCAAAACTAAAAAGGCACGCGCGCGCAAAAGAAAATTCTTTTTCGCGATGCGGTTTTTTTTTTTGCGTGTCTATGACGACAACTTGCATCGTTTTAGACAATTAAAAAGAATACGACTTTTGGGGTGTTAGTGCCCCTTTAAAAGGCTTTCAGTGAGATCCCGGGTATTCAAGGATTTTAAGGAGCTGTACGAACCCTGGAGGAGGTGAGGAGCTGGAGAGAAAAGTGGCAAAAATAAAAAGGTATGTGCGCCTGTAAAGAATTTTTTTTTTTTGTGTGTTTTTTTTTTTTTTTTTTTTTTTGCGAGTCTCTGACTACAACTTGCATTGTTTTAGACCAGTGGTCGGCAACCATTGGACCGCGGGTCGCATGCGGCCTGCGAGGTAGTATCATACAGCCCTTAGCCTCCCGGTAACCCCCACTCCCCCCCCTACGCGGTCAGCTAAAGAAAAAAAAAAAAAAGTTGACTAATTCGCTGACTTTTTCACGAGTGAAGTGCATAAAATCCAACTTCCGCTCACGAACGACTGACGAGAACCTCCACAATGTTTTGCGACTCGCAGTTAGCAGCTTGAATGTGGATGTTCGTAGTTTGGCGAGCGCAGTTCAACACCAAAAGTCTCACTGAGAGGCGTCTATAGGTTTTCATGGAAATGTCGTATCTCATGTTGTTTGTTGTGAAATAAAGACACTGTTCATTTTCAATTTATGTACGTCAATGTAAGTTCGCGCAAATGCTTTTTTTTATTTTAACTCCTCCCCCCTTCCCCCCCCCCCCCCACGCGGCTTGCCGTCCGGCCCGTTCCGCCTTCGCTTCGCAGCGACACGGCCCGCTTCGCCAAAAGGTTGCCGACCACTGTTTTAGACAAACAAAAAAAAAATATCTTTGGGCCCCTTTAAGATTTGGCATTAAAATCAACATTAGGGGGGCACTTACCATTACACGTGGCGGATTGTCATTGCCGCCCTAACTTTAAGAACATTTAAATCGTTGGCAGGGAGAATGTTAAGACTGCACACAAATTGCTTGAAGCCTTTGAAATAATCAAAACAGGTGCAGATAGCTGCGTCAGCCAGACGTCTGTTTATCTGCATTCAAAAGAAATTGGGTTCCTTAGTTTTCAGTGACTAGGTTATTGTGCTAGTCCTTTCTCTTTTAGCTTGCGATTCCCGTGTGCTGCCTTGGGGCTTTTATCTTGTTCTTAAGTGTTTTGTTTTTATAATTTTCTATGGTGGTTGCTGCGGTGGCTGGTTTCTGTGTTTCTCCATTAAACTTTTAGTTGTCAGTCAGCGCTCATCCCGTCAACTTCTTCTACTCCGTCTTTGTTTGTTGAGCTGTTTTCTCGATTTAGTCATGAACCAACTCGCCTGCGTCGCCACCTTAATCTCGCCACACTACTGGGAGAAGTTCGCGACTCTCTGCAACTCTTGTTTTTCCTTGTCTATATTCTTTCACTTTTTCCAGATTGTAGTGCCTTGCTTTTTTTTTTTTTTTTTTTTTCATCCTGCATATTGGAATTGTTTACTACATAGCTGAAGAGAAGAGTAAAGGAAACGGGCCTGTAGTAGGGAGCTAATTCCTCCAGCTTCCTACCTTTGGGAACAGTTTGTTGTCGCGTGAGCTTCAAGCGTGTATGCACGTGCTGGAGGCCAGGCGTTTGGAAGAGTGCCCTGCTCTTTTCACCTTGTCAATGACTACTAGAGTTTGTTTAAAGCAATGGCCTTGTTTTTGTGTTGCCCCCCACCCTGTTGAAGCCACTTGACACTCCCAAGAGTATAGACCCCCAAGCTTCATTTAATCGATCCTGTGCAACTGAATATGTGGCTTGCACTCACGTGACATCAGCTGCTATTGTAGATACCTTGGTGCCGAGTGCATACTTCTGGCAGCATACGTTACGCACTATCAACCATGTTTCTCTCGGCAAGAACACGCAGGAATGCCTGCCAGCACGGTGCGATGGCGTCACGTACAAGCCATGTATTAGATCGGGGCGGGCAGAGCTGACAGAGCCTGCTATACTCCATTTCACCTTACGATGTGAACATATCAGAGGCTAGAAATCTGAGCTCGCGGCCTTGGCACTTGTTCCTGCTGTGCAAGTGTTCGTGCAGCCAAACAGGACATCCTAACGATGAGACACATAGCCGGCGGTCAAACAGGCAGAGGATCTTCGTTCGTGGACTATATTCCTTTCCAAAAAATGCTCCTAGGCCACCACCATGTTACTGCTGATGATGATGATACACTTGGTGCAACTCGCCTATCAGCTAGAAATTTTCTGCCACTTCCTTGAACTGCTGAAGCCTGCTCAGCACAATTCTCTGCTATGTTTTGCAGTTTTCCATTCCAAGTTTTCCCAGCGCCCCTTGAAAGTTTCCGCTTTATTTTCCGCGTGCATACTGCATACCCTTTTTGTGTTATCCTCCACTGCGAGAAATAAGGCTGGTAAGTGCATGCCATTCAAGCATTTCTGTTGGACATTCGGGGGAAATGGAAGGAAGGGAAGAATGGTGGAACGGCCGTAGACACGGTGACAACTGTTCTTCCCACTCCCAGAGAGGGTCCGCTAGAGACCCTTTCAGTCATCGCCAAAAATAGCTGCTCGAGTAGGGGTGGGGGAACGAACCAGTCGCATCTGTTCAGTCACCTTGGTGCTTGTGTTGCGAAAAAAAGGAAGCTCTCCCCAAAACAAGGTCCTCTTGGATTCCGTCTGATCGTCGAGATGCGACTGTCGTCAACACCGTAGTACTGTGTTAGTTGAGATCTTTCTCAAATAAATCCTTTTCAGACAACTCTGTACCATGTGGTACATACATTTTATTGTTCGAATGTTGACACTTCCTAAATTTCATGTACAAGTCCCGTCGTGTAGATCTGTAATCACGTTACAGTAGAATCTCATTATTTCAAACTCTAGAAAGCTATGAATTTCGTTTGAATTGCCTTAAGTTTGAATTACCACAAATTCATCTAAATATGATGCAAGATAAATCATAATTTCCTATACGGATGACTATACATACAAAGCTGATATTCAATGATTTCCTCCACACAGGCCTACTAATCACTCAAAAATGTTGTTTATTGTTGACTGTTTAGACAGTATACGACACCTCAAAACAAAGCTAAGTTTATTCATCCTGCAAAAGGTTTATTGGGGATACACGAGTGATGAAAGCGGGCGCCACACGGCAGTTTCCATAACAACTTGTGCGGACGCTGGGACATGGACTTGTGCCATGCCGCCACGTCACAAAGTCCAGGAACTGCCGCGCGGCGCCCATTTTTGTCGCACATGTGTCCCCTACTTTAGCCCTGTTGAGCGTGCTTCTTACCGAGCACCAGTGCACTGTAGAGAAGCAACACCAGCGGAAGCTTGCTTTTCCACAGTGGACTGGTGCTCAGAAAGAAGCGTGCTCAATGGGGCCGCGAGAACAAGTATGAATTGCACGAAAACGCCATTCGAACTAAGTGGCTTATGAATACATTGAAAACATGGGAGGACAACCCAAATTTTGAAATTTGTTGAAGTATGAAATATGAGGCCTACTGTATTTATGTGCATAAAATATGCATGCCTTTCGGCTATATTCCATTGTAAATCATTTTTGACAGCTAAGTGCTTTGTTGATTGACACGGCAGACAATTTTGTAACTATACCTGTAGGACTTAAAGGAGTATTTATATTAATAATGTTAATAACTCGTAAAATAACACAAACATTCCAGTTGTATTTGCTCTGTTGCACATATACCCCCAAACAATGGTTTTCATTTTCTGCTTTCTCAATGTCTTCAGGAAAATGCATACACAATGAAACGCAAAATACAGTGGGAAAAGGCGAGAGTTTAGCCACCAGTAAATGCCTGAAATTGCCCCTACGCAGGCTGTGCCTATCAAAATCGACAGTCCACTCGGTTAGGGTAAGCAGGGACTCCGGTGAGAGACTAGCCTCGAACCCAGCGAGTAAGCTCGAAAAAGGTTCCCTTGTCCCTGGGGCCGAGTGTTTCTTGGAAAGGTGTATAGAATGGGAGGGAGGAATTTCAGTGTTCCCACCTTAGATGACTTTCGGCATCTCATAAGCCTCGAGCGTGCGTGTGCAGGCAAGGCACAAAACATGTGCCAAAGCATGGTTATTTGAAAGACACGCTACTGTTCCCATGCCCTCGCAGACTATATAGAATACGGACTACTTGGTATGGGAAGCCTTAGCAAAAAAACAAGGTCATATTTCCAATCTGTATAGAACTCCCCCCGCCCGCCACTTTAAGACTGCTTGCATCAGCCAACCGGAAAGCTCGATCCCCCAGTTCGGGCAGGTGCCATCAAACGTGGTACTGTGGGAGCAATCGAGTGGCTCTAGCTGAAACGAAATGCATTCCCCTCGCGTGCTCCTAGAACGGAGATGAACCACGCTACCTTCCGTGCAGGTGGACCTAGAAGTGCCCCCCGGAACTGCGGAGCTCCAGCTCGTCTGCAAGGCCGTGGACTCGTCATACAATGCGCAGCCCGAGAACGCCGAGGGCGTCTGGAACTTGCGGGGCGTGCTCAACAATGCGTGGCATAGGGTCCGCGTGAAGGTTCAGGCAGAGGAGGGGGGTGCAAGTAAACACAAAATACAATAGTTTTATAAGTTTGAGGCAACATCAGCTCCACACGAGCACGCGCTCGACGAAGCTTCGAGAGACGTGGCGCTGGTCCAACTTGGGGAAGTAGTCCGGGTAGATGGACGAACAGTGGAAGCCCAGTATCTCCAACGGGTGGCGGTTCACCTGCCGGAGTCTGCACCAAACACCGAAAGGTGTGGCATTTATACGGTCCTCGCACGCCGGTCGCGTCACCGTTATCCCCTGGCGTACTAGAACGTTGGGCAGGAAGAATTTAGGGAAATAAATAGAATGCACTCGGGTCGAGGAGAAAGGCAGAAACAAGTACGACACACACAGTGCTCCATGTGTCGCACTTGTTTCTGCCTTTGTCCTTGTCCTTAGCCGATTTTATTTATTTCCCTGGACAAGAACCGATTAGCCCGCCAAAAGGTGTTACTAGGAAGAATTTGTACAAATTCGTTCTGCACCTGTTTGACTTTTCTGATACATTTCCTTTGTATTTACACGTGTTCGAGGCAGTCTCAAAGTAAGCATTTCTAGTTTTATAGGAAACATAGCCTTATTTACAACATGGCTTAGTCAGGCTGTATACCCAGGTTGTCTTTTGTAGACACTGATGCCATGCTACGAAGTCAGACCCATCAGGTTGCATTGTTTGTATAGTAGCACCTTGTTGGTGCATCACCTCAATTAAAGTACAAAATTTTCCACATTGCAAATGCTATCAACATTGCTGCACAATCCAGGGAATATTCACTCAGTGCATGCCACAATTCTTGCAAGGATGGCAACATGGAGCACAATCTTGTTATTGTATGAATGTCCGCTACATTTTGGAGACACTCTTAAATCTTGCCTTGGGTAATTATTGGACTGCCCAGAGTTTGTTTCTTGACTCACACGTCATAAAGACTCAATCTACTGCTGAATTTTCTCTTTTCACATGTCGCAATATCTACACGTCGAACATTATCAGCTCTGATGTACCATTAGTCAGCGTGCAGCATGACTTGATTTTTGGGTTAGAGGCACAAAAAATAGTCATTACTATTTATACTGTGATCGTCAACTCTCCCAACCGAGTTTTCAGCAAATAGGATGCTGCTTAAGGCTCGTAGGGTCCTACCGCACTGCTCGAATTCGGTCGTGGGTAGGGGTCTGTCCATCTGTTTTGAGGTTTGTTTCACAAAGTTGGGCTAGTATTATTTTCTGTGGCGATTGTTGCAGCGGGAGGGCTGCTTCTTTCACAACTTTCTTCTGATAGATCCTTAATAGTTGGAAGTACTGGTAGATCTACTGGGTGTTAATAAAGCTCCAGTTTTCTGGAAAATGTGTTCGGTGTACAACTCATTATTCATCAAAGACGAGCGCTTACCGGTCCCCAGTCACATTGTTGAGAAACTTGGCATAGGACGGGCGCATGTTGTGCGGTTCCACGACAGCCTGAATAGAGAGGCAAAGCATGCAATGGAAACACTGCAGATACGAACTCGAGCTACTGCATATCCTCCAGTAGGAAGCAGGGTACAGCAAACTCGAGCACCATCTTCTGGTGACTAACAGCAAATGCCTCCAACGCTCCAACTCTGCTTCCAAATGCATGGAGAATGAGAGAAAGCCATAGTTTACAGAACAAACTGTTATACATGCTTTGGAAGAACACATTTCATTCAGTTTTCAAGCTTTGTGCAAGCTCAGAAGTCTCGTTTTGAATTAAAAATTGCTCGAGAGACGACCATCGTGCAGACGACGAGGCGAGTTGCAACCAATTTGATGCTTGCCTTCTCCTCAAAGTGGTGCGTCGTCAGACTGTCCAATCTATGCCAAACTTTATAGAAATTGTTATAGCTCTGCCAACTTCCCATCAGAATAGTTTTGAAAAGCATGAGGTCATATTATGGTCATGAATTGTTTGTTCTTTTGACATAGCACCAATCTCCATGCATTTACCCCTCATATTGCTCCTAGATTCTGAAGTGGTGGCAGACGAGTATGAATAAGAAAAATTCCATGAGACCAGACACTCAGAAAATTCCAGCGTTTGCTCTGTCAGTAAAGTCCGCTGATCAAAGACATACGCTACTCCGCTTCCTTCAGGAACATATACAGTAGCAACCACACTGGTCCCTCCAGAAACCAAAAAGGCTCAAGGTACACCTAAGCAAGTTCCTATGAGTTTTGAATGCGAAAGCATGAATGTCATTCTTGCGCGCATTCTCGTGAAGTGGCCGCACCGTGTCCGGAGTATGCTTGGGTGAGCTCTCTTTGGGAGGCCCTCCTAGCCAAACGCTTGCTTTTCCCGGCACGGGCACGTAGTGCCATGGGGTGGCTCTCCTTGAAACTGACTTGCCTTGGCTAATGGGAGCTTCTTTCCTTGAAACTATGACGAGCACCAGCCAATGGTAGCCCTATCCATCAGATTTTGGCTTCACTTCGAGAGTGGAATTCATTTGCCATTTGGCACGGCTTCAAAAGCTGGGAGCCCTCAGATCGCGGCAGGCGCGGCTTCACTTCACCCCATAGGGAAAGGGGAGTTTAGCTGCTGTTTGGCGCGGTAGCCGATGACGTCGGCTCGCTCAATGGGACCCCCCAGTTAATGCTTTCGCATTAAAAGGGTGCAGGTATTGACAGCAGTCTTTATGGATGCTATATGTGAATAGAAGCAGTGTTACCAAATGCAAGCACAAGCTACTGTTCGTGTTCAGCAGGTATTAACAAGCCTAAACCGATAACCCTAGAATAGGTAAAGCAGAGGGTGCTTGTTTTGCTTGCAGCTAATGTGCCCCACAAAACATATATCTTAGGACACCAAATAGTGCTTCTATAGTGTCACAACCGAGGGGGGGGGGACACAGTGCAATTGAACACATCATAACTCGCCAGTTAATGAACCTAAACATAGCCTTCTGAAGCAAACCGTCATTTGGTCGGTCACCATTTGATGATCAGTTTGTTAAAGCGAAGTAGATGCAAGTCCTCCTCCAACCTAGCGTTTCTGCACTACTATAGAATGGAACCTATGGTGCAGCACCTCAAGACCTGTCATGTGCATTCAATGAGAAAATCAATTGGGAACACAGCTGCAACTATTGATAAACAATGCTCCAAGCCTGTGAAAACGACCCAAACTATGTGCTGCCACTAACCATGTCATGATACTCGTACAACGTTAGGAGGCATTTAGCGGAAGATGAAAAATCTCCACAGAATCCGAGAACGCCCTGCGACCAACTTACGCAGGACATCATGACTCCCGTGCCTAGAGCAAACAGCATTTCTGGTCCCCAGGGAACTGTGGGCACACAGCCCTGTTTTGCAGCCCGGCAGTAGAGCACCTGTATGAAATGCAGGTGACACAATGTTTCAGCTAAATAGTTCTTTGTTCTCTGGCAAAAAAATACTATTGCAGTCGGACAACAGACTGGACAGTACGGACGACAGCTTTGTGGGAAAGGCGTGAAACTTTTTAGATTGATTAATTACGACGGCGCACAAAACAGAACTTGGAAGCCACAAAGTTATGCCGCTAACATGCATAAAAGTATAACTAGTAATATTATGGAAGTTCGTCGACTCTTTATTGAGGGCCAAGACTAGAATATTTTCAACTTGGCCTAAATAAATTGATAGGGTGGGGAAAGATGTGCCCTGCCCCTGCTTGAAGCAAAACTTGTTTCGTATTTGTTTCACAGCACTGCCAATTCAATGGTGCATGAGCTCGTCAAAAATTTTCTTAGGGGTAGTCTGGCATCTTTGTCATGGCCCCCGGTTTGCCTCACAATTGTCTGAACGGAGCAATAAGCATTGCTGAACTACTAACTTAAATATTGGGCCAAAACCTTTTTTTCTTTGCAATTTTAAACAATTTTTAGTTTTGGTCCTCACCCTTTTTTGTCTACTAGAAAGAAAGAAAAAAAAAAAAAAAAAAGAAAGACGTTTACAAATCTCAGTCATGTGCAACTAGAGTCCCCTCTCGAGTCTCCTCGTCCTCCTCATCTTCCCCTTCCCTTCCTCCCCCCTCCTCCTCCTTTCCTTCTCCTGCCGCTGAATTTGTTCATGGGTGACATGACACGGAGTCGTAGGGTCATTTTCCCCGCTCAATTTAGCGGGAAAACTGAATTGGGGTTGAGGTCAGATGACAACAATTTCCTTGCAAAATTTAGCGGGGAAACTTAACCCGCTAAATTTAGCAGAAAAATTTCCCCCCTAAATAAATTAGCAGAAAAATTTCCCCACAAAATAAATTAGCAGAAAAATTTCCCCACAAAATAAATTAGCAGAAAAATCTCTCCTCTAATTTTAGCAGAAAAATTACCCCGCTAAATTTAGCGGAAAAATTTCCCCACTAAATTCAGCGGGAAAGCGTCCCGGCGACGCCGCTCAACTCGGAAACGGGCGCCTAAGAGCTGTGCTCTAAAACTGATGCCAGTGACAGGCAGAAGTTCACTCATTAGGAAGTAGAATTCACTCTTAACTGAATACAAGAAGTTTGATAGCTTAAAATAAGTGCTTTGGAAGCTCCTACCAGCATGCGTGCAGCAGTAGCACAAACCCCATTTTCTAGACCGCCTGCTCGACCTGCAAGCCTGCCTTCCTGGCAGTGATGTCGTGGCGCTAAAAAGTGTGGGTATATTTGAATGCTGGTACTGGCATTGCCATCATTTGACGATTTTACAACTATTCTGAATTGAGAGATACTAAATGGCCTGCCAGAAAGGAAAAAGGTCCAGTACCAGTAGCTAAAAAATATTGCCGGAGTACCCCTTTAACATACTATGACATCACAACGGCATTCAAACATCAGTTACACTTATTCATTTAAAGGAGGAAAACAACTGTATGGAAGGACAAGCTCGTCTTGTTTCAGCCTGACGTTAGAAAAGCTACTGGTTCCAAACAACTCCAAACCTTTCATGGCAGTCTAGAAAAATGCTAGCCACTAAATCGAGCATTTTTGCTCGACCGTATAAAATTATGCAGCCTACCGTAATACCCAGACTATATGCCGACCATTTTCCAAATGTCTACTAAATAAAACCTTCCCGCTGCAATGTGATCCCTCCAAGACAACGAAAAAAAGAAAAAATATTGGTCGGTGCATAGGTGTACTAAGCTGCATAAATTTTTGTAGAACTACGTGTGGGTGGCACAAGAAATGAGAGGGGCTAAATGCTTCGCCAAGTTGCGCTTGAGACTCGCGTGAACTGCCCATGGTGCAGAGGACGCAAGCTCGGCTGCTCAGCCACTGTGCAGAGCGATGAACGAAGATTGTGGAATCACGGCTGCCGGAGCGGCATTTATCGCCGTTTCAATCAGACAGGAGTGCATCGTGTTGAAGCGAGCGGACGAGCAAGCCAGCAGATAAGAAATTGCTACAGAAACCACTATTGTTGGTTGTCTATGCATTGTGATAGCATTCACTAGGGTGATCTCAAGGACGACCTCAAGGACCATGTCTAAAACGACATCTAGGGCAATCTTAAGGACGACCTCTAGGACAACCTCAAGGATGGCATCGAGGATGACGTTCAAGGGGATGATGTCTAGGACTTCCTAAAGGACAACATCAAAGACCTTTAGGATGATCGTTAGGATGACTGCAAGGACCACCTTGCAGTCATCCTAAAGAAAGTTTGCGAGGTTTTTCGAAGCGGGTGTGGATGTGCAGGAGCGTGAAAATGTGAGCTGAAATGATCTACTGCGCACACCTAACTGCGTGGTTCTCAGCAGAAGGCACGGCGCGCCACCAGGGAATGAGCCGATGCAAATCAGTCAGCGCTCCGGTGTTACAGTAAGACCTCGTTATAACAAAGTTGAAGGAGCGGTCGTAATTATTTCGTTATAACCGTTAGTTTGTTATAGCCACTGTCCATTTCTTCCCACTTTTAGTAAACAAGGGGAATTATGATTGCTTTGTTATATCCATTAGTTTGCTATATCCCATTTTGTTATAACGACATTTTAGTGTATAGTGCAACGTCACTTCCGTGACCAAGTTTTCGTGACATCAATATCCAAACTTTGTAACCCCTTCCAGGCATGGAGAAAAACATAATTCTACGTCAAAAAGGATAACCGTAGGCTCACCTCTACTAGCTTCCAGGCCATGTAGAGGGCCAGGGTAGAGTTGGGGCTGGCAGCCATGCTAAGCCCGGCCAGCAATCCGCCAGCCAAGACTTGCCAGGGGCTCTCGTGGCCACAGACCTGACGCAGCAGACAACGCGACCCCTGCATTTGTGGGGCAACCACAAAGCCATCAAAATTGGTGCAGATATTTTGCTGTAAAAGTACCCAGAACAGGTTGCTGTAAATATTACGGCAACAGCTGCTTCAGCTGAAATGCAATCGTTACGAACACAGTTACATTTTTACGAGTGTGCCCAGCTGCAGTTACACAAACAGTAACTGAATAATGGTACAGTTACTTTAAAAAACGACGCATGACATAGGGGTGAGCTGTGTTCGATGACAACGCATCAGTTTTCAGCATGGAAAAAGTACCTGTACAGTTTCAGTTTGATAACGGAGTCAGTTACAACGTGCAGCTCCGACGTTTCAGGTAAATCAACCTAGATCATGCACTTGTCCACTCAATTTTGAGAACTACCATAATTGAACTTCATTACCAATTATTCCGAAAATGTATAAAAATTACAATAACTGAAATTTCGGTGTAACTTGAAATCTACTTGATTACTAAATTTTTAACAAATGGTAAAAAAAAAAAAAATTCTCTCTCTTCAGCATTTTTTTAGCCCTTTGATGGCCGCCGCCATAAATGTACAGCGGCGCAAAAGCATCCCGCATAGTCATCGTGATACCTGTAAGGCAGCGATTATACCATTAAAAGTTATTGCTTAAACGCGAAACTGTGTGCACCCCAAAAGTGTTTCTGTCTGTTACGTCTTTGGGGAACTGTATTTGTTTTATTCACACCATGTTTTGCTTCGTTAAGGATATCTAGTTTCAAAACTCGACACCCTGCACAAGTGATACGTTGGATGCCGCCACTTTGCGCTGGAGGCCACTACTTCGCGTGTTGACTGCTCCTGCGGTAGTGGCAATCGAAGTGCTGGCTCTTCCGAATCAGACTTCCAACGCTTTTTGGAACTGATTTAAGAAAATGAGAACCCATTATCCAATGCAGAAGCTCTGCAAAGTACCTCCAACTTGGAGTCTGAGGCTGACAAAATGTTGAAAGGAAGTGGAAACACGAAAATCAGACCGAGGATAATAAAGGTGACAACTTTTGCCCTTGATATTTCCATTTGATACTTTCCCAATCTGGACAGCTAGCAAGCACTTTAGGTGCTTCTGTTAGGTAATGTAAAAAATGCTGCGCATTTACTTATTCTTAGTGCCCTCCCTTTTGAAAAAAAAAAAAGAGACCACTGGGGTACATTATACTCGACCGCAAAAGGATGCGAAGCCACGTGAAACTAGGATATCCCTTGATACTGTGATGTCATGATGCTACGTGGCACTGACATCATTGAGGCTACAAATAACAGACAAAAGACCCCTGAGACTGACCTTATAAATGCTAGGCATTTAAAACAATCTCACTAATTGGCTACTTTAGAGCTGTGTTCAGATATGCTGCCATTTCCAAAACTTGCTTCCGTTTCAAAGTTTACGCAATTTATCACAGTGCCAAAGTCGGTTCACCGATCAAAAGAAGCAAACATACTGCAAAAGGAAGGGTAAATTCAACTTCAGTGTAGCACAATAGCAGAGCAACACTAAAACAGTACACAGGAAAACAAACACTGCCAATCGCTATAAATATCTTCAGTAAACAATCCCACTTGGACAAAATGAATTGTGAAGCCAGTTGGCGCATGGCTTAAGCTCCAAAAAAACAAGGCTCAAAAAAGAAAAAAAAAGAAAGCGAAAACCTTGTCCGCAAGTTGTCTATTGCATTTCTAACCTTCACTGAAATAATTGGATACAAAAAAAAAAACAATAGAAGGTCACCATAGCATTGTTCTCAACAAAGTGTTGAATCTCGTTAATTCAAACTCTCTTCAAACTTGCAGATAATTCAAACTAACATGCAGGTCCCATCCTATGCAACTCTATGGGAAGAAACTCCCGTTAATTCAAACTCGGCTTTATTCAAACAAATTGTTGGTCCCTCTCGAGTTTGAATTAACGAGATTTGGCTGTAGTTGTGAGTGAACCCCACCATTGCCTCTCCTTGCCTCCGTGCTTAGTTCAAGCATGCCAATCATTGCCCAAGTGTAAAAGAGTGATACAAATAAGGAAATTACTTTGGCCCAGGGATGGGCAGTATTTCAAATGCAAGTATTTGAAACATGTATTTCAAATACTTTGTGTATTTTGAAATTGTATTTAATCACAAATTGGGTAATGTATTTGGCATGTGTATTTAAATAATAAAATGTGGGTATTTCAAATACAATTGTAGTTAAATACAACTTTGTGGGCGAAAATACATTTTGTTTTTATTCATGTGGTTGTAAGATATAGTCTCCATCCTTTATTCGGCCATGGGGCTTTTTTCTTTTTCTCCTCCGGCCTTATTTTAAAGGCACTGTCCAGAGCAGGAAGAAAACTACGTTCTGCACCAAATGCAGTGTCTCTCAATCAAGCAGAAGCGTTTAGTGACTTTGAGATTACGGTGCTAGTCCAGGTCAAGAATAGTGACGAAATCGACGTTCACAGGCAGACTGGCTAAACAAGTGCCTGTGACAACTTGTGATGCTTTCCAGCCTGATTTCCATCCATATTTTTGCCTGGAACATTTTAAATGCGCGGGTCGTCCAGATCTTCGTAACTGGTGCGAGTTGCAACAATAAAAAATTCTCTAGCTAGTGCTGTGCGTCTTGGTCGTCTGAGTTCTTTGTTGGTCTATACCAAAATGTAATCGACAAAAAAAAAAAACTGCTTGAAGCTCTGTACTTTTTTCACCTATTACGTCCAAGCTGATTACATTTTTTTGTGATTATATCTCTATTACGTTACTAGAGCCTCGCACACTGACTCCCGAGTGTGCGATGCAAAATTAATATGAGATACCCAGAAACCCGTTGCAAGTGCCTTGAAGTCGCTGACGCAAATTTTAAGGAATGTATTCGGAAAAGTATTTGGAGGAGACCAAATACATTTGGTTGCATTTGTATCTTGTAATTAAATGCTTTTTCGGAAATGTAATTAGATACATTTTTGACAAAGTATTTTGTATTTGTATTTCGATACATATTTGGATGTATTTTGCCCATCCCTGCTTTGGCCTAATGCCTTGCACGCACAAGCGTAACCTGCAGACATCCACAAATAATCACGATGAAATCAACGGATGCGCACAATCAAATTTCCCCATGTCGGTCATGCCAAAGCAGCCTGATGTCAAAATGGTTAGATTTCTTCTCACATTGAATAGTCGACGCTCAACTTGCAGCCCTACAATTTTCAAAACAGCTTTCGGAGTGAACACGTGGAATACCACGTGCATTATTAAAAAAAGAAAAACATTCCTCACTTATAATATTAGCCTACACGATTTTGTCTTGAGCTTTCAGCTAGGAAAACATTGTGGATTCCATTGGTGATCTCTCGAAGTGCGAGAAAACTCAAGTCCTTTCAACAGTCTTCAATTTAACCTCCGAATCCAACGGTACCACCAAGAAATTCACGCCGTTGTTTTCAATAATTCCAGAACATTTTCGAAATCTGTTACGACAGACGTCGGTTCATCTCGGACCGCGCTTTCTACCATGGCACAAACATGCACCATGTTTCGTGAAGACGCATTGCCTCCTTACGCCTTGCACTTGCTGCTGGTGAGAAAGAGAGCTGCACTCACCCGAAAGAGGGCCACGGCCCCTCCGAGAAAGAGCCCTTGCCCCCACGGGGCCCGGTGGATCAGGGCCAGCCAGGGCCTCCTGCGAAGGCGACGGCCCAGCAGCAGCAACAGCGCCCGCACGCTGTAACCGCCCAGGAATGGCAGTGCACTTCCCTGCAAACGAGAAAATGGGTAAAAAAGAACATGAAACCGGGAAAGCCCCTCTATGCTGCTTGCTATCTTGGGACAATCCCAATGGTGGGCAAGTATGGGAGAGCAAAACATAGAGATAAAAGAGTGTATGCTGTGGAGGAGGAGGAGTGAGTGGGGGGGGGGAAATGCCTACACCTTGAGCGGCACTTGTTGATTGGAGTCAACGGCCCCAATCTAGAAACACCGCAAGCACAATATCGTGGCTCTCAGCATCTTTACCTTTGGTTCTTTCTTTTTGGCTAACCCAATCAAATCCAGAAAGCACACTTTGATGAGGCGCTTTTAATCTGTGTGTATGCACTTGCCTTCGACTGCACTCTGACTTTCTGTTAAAGTGTAAAAACGAGGCCTCCTATCTGGGGCAATCATGATGGCAGGCGACCGCGAGAAAGGAAAAAAAAAAAATGTGCACACTAGAGGAGAGTGGAGATGTCATCACCTTTCTTATTCAGAAGCCCCAGAGACCGGTAGCTGTAACATGTTTCATAAACGTGGCTGGTTTTAATGCGAAAGCATTAACTGTCTCATGGAGTGAGCCGACGTCATCAGCTGTGAAACCAAGACCAACGGCTATTAAATCCTTCTCGAAGTCAAGCCAGCTCCCATTCGCCAGTTAGCCACGGTCCCTTTTACACTGCTTCAGTCCCACTGGCTCGCGTGCGTCGACCAGCATCCTATTCACCGGACACACGGCGCCAGTCAGCGTGCCAACACAAAGTGTTCCCCTTCTCCAGGGATTATTTTCGTCATTCTTGTCCAGCTCGCTAGCACCTTTGCATTTAATTGCATTATGATAATAATGTACATGCTTTCACATTCACAACTCATAAGAAGTGCTTAGGTGTATTTTAATCTTTTTTATACAAGTGCTATTCGTAAAACTGTTCAACAAGTGCTATTCGTAAATTCGTAAAACTGTTCAACTATTGGCTTGGGCACTGCTCAAAAGGCAACAGGAGACTATTTCCTGTTACACAAGTTTACGGACTTTGTTAACAGTGCCAGCAGGGTTTGGTGCAATCCAATGACACTGGCGTCACTGGTTCAGAGAACCCAGGGCACTAAAAAAGAGCTCTCGAAGAGATGACCCCATAGTGGTTTTGACAGCTGGCTCCTTTCTCATGTAAACAACACGTGCAGAAATGACGTTGCACAGAAAGGTGCAAGGGTGCACCTTTGCCGTGTGCATCAGACAGCCACCGTCATGGTGGCAGGGCTGGATGTTGTCCTCCGAGTCGCCCGTGTCTGGAGGGGGAAGGAACTCTTCTTTTCCCATGAGTAGCCTGCACAGGCGGCGGGAACGTCAGGAGACTGCGCTCCAACTGATCCATGGTCCAAAGGTCCAAACCCAACCTGAGCACCTTGCAGACAGGATCCCTAAGGCGATTGTCCAGCCTGCAAAAGGAAAGAAAAGAAAAAAGAAAGACGCACCACCTTAATGCAATTTCTTTTTCTAAATTGTGGGGAAACTTCAGTTTGAGCAGACGGCCATCCGTTCGTGAAGGCGGTGAAGTGGCGGGAGGGATGCACTCACCGCATGCAGTACAGAAACGCTCCCATACTCAGCGCGAACATGAGGACCTGGAAGAGAATGTCACAAAAGCAATTGCCAGTCCCTTTTCAAGAATTATCACATTGAAAACAGGAGACCATTTATAACTACTAACATGAAATGTATTTACAAAAAAAAAAAGTCAAATTTGGGGGTTTTACGTGCCAAACCTACGACGGGCATCTGGCACGCCTCAGCGGAGGACTGAGGATTAATTTCGACCACCTGGGGATCTTTTGACGTGCAACCGAAAGCTCGGTTACACGGCGCCTTCTCCGCAATAAGCCTCCGTCATATTGCGGGCACCTCGGTCGGGATTCGAACCCGCCACCTGGGGATCCGTAGGCCGGCGCTCTCGCCTCGGAGCCACCGAGGCGGCGAAATGTATTTACATAAATACAAATACAATGACCAATGAATTTGATACCTGCATACTTCAGTGCATCATTCCCTCTCTTTCCTAGAATCCCAAGAGAGAGCAATACTATACTTGGGGACAAGTTTTCTGGGGATTTCCGAGGCGAGGAGGAGAAGCACGCACAGCTCTAATCAGTGCTTAAAGGGGGGAAAGGGCCCGTGCGCCCATACCTCTGACTGCATTGCCAAGTAAAGTTGTTCCCGAATAAAGAGGATGGAAAAGAAGTAAATCGGTTAATTAGTTAGCTAATTAACTAAAAAATTGATTCATCTTCATGAAGTTTAATTTGGGGGGGGGGGGGAGAGGAGAGGGGGCATAATGTTGTCGAAAAATTCACGCTCTACCTTACTATGGCCCAATATGGTAGCTCCCCACAGCCGTGAAAGTCCGTACAAATAAAGTGCACTGTACGAGTCGCTTACTGTTCCATCGACAGGTCCCAAAAGCATTATCGGTTGCTATGCTTTTCTGGGTCATACATTTTTGTTTTCACAACGTTCCCCCAAGAAACATACTAATAGGGTGCTCGCCCTATTACTATTAATATACTTAACGCTAATGTTTCATATATTAAATAGAGGTTAACTCTTCATATGAAAAACACTATCTAGGTGGCGCGCACCACTACCCGACTAAAAAGGGTTCAGCCGTATGCATTCATTCCTTCATCCATCTGTGCTAGCCTTGTAGAACAAGTCAACCTATAGAGACGGGATCTACGAGAGTGAAAGCAGCCTACCTCCCCATGGGGAATCTCCATGACCATGTTGCGGCTCCGTAGCACGTTGTAGATGATCTCCGAGCACTGGTGGCAGACGGATCAGCTTAAACGTCCCCCCAGGTCCCGAAACAAAACATGTTTACTCACCTGGTTTAGCATATAGACCGAGAGCACACGCCGCCTGCAAGAACAATCGCGAGGGGGGGGGGGGGGGGGTGCACTTTGAACTCGCGGACGAGATCAACCCCACTGCGGTATTTCCAGAGGAGGTCTGAAATGGTGCCCAATTTTCGTACCAGCGGTACAAAATTTTATATTGTACCGCTGGTCCTAATGGATTTTTTAACTGCTAGTCGAGCTTTTGCAGTAAGTGGCATGCTGCGATATCAAATTTTTTCTTTCTTCAGAAAGGAGTGAAATGTGCAGATTTGCATTGCAGATTGTGATCTGCTAGTCAATTTAATGTAAAGGCAACTTGTTCAGCGACTAAAAGAATTTAATGTTAATAGGTGTATTTTGTTGCAAGTTACTGGGACATCTGTGCCAAGCTACCCACTGAATTGGTTGCCACACTTGATGCTAAGCATGGTAACCTATGGTTGTAGCTCGATACAAGTGGCTGCCACATAGACAAATGGGCCTTTGTTTACAGACATACCGAGTTATAATGTCCCTCGGCGGTCATGGGGACCCAAACGAGGTCACATATTTAATTAAAAGGAGGCAAGAACATTGATATACCATCATTACTAACAATTCAATCACAAATATTTTTCAAGTTGTTCAGGTCTAACAAACACTGCATAGGGAGTCATCAATGACAATAATCTGCTGTCATGGGGAACATGCAGCCAAAAAGAGGCTGATGGGTGATCTCATCTCAAATTCGCGCAAGAAAATATGATGAGTCCTCAAACAATTTTGAAAAAAAAAAAATATGTTGGTGGAAAATGTGACTAGAACAAAACTGCAAATTAGAAGTACGGAAGATTTCTTGTTCTCGAGTTTTGAGCTCCAAAGGCAGGAGGTATGTCTTGCCATTTTTGCAGTTTTCACAAGCGACACCATTTGGAGTCTCTAAACTTTTAGATTCTTTTTTTCACAACAATTATAACTTTTTTTTTTTTTTTTACTGCCTTGAGACTTTGTATAGTAGGGTTAAGGTTCTCTAGACGTGTTTTTTTTATTTTATTTTATAATATAAGAATTCTTGAATCTTACATCTTTCACAATAATGGGCCAAGCTTAAATCAAGCTAGCTTTAAGAAGCATACACTGATCTCTATGACAATTGCTGGATTGCGTTTACCCGCTCCACGAATGCGGCCATCTTTTTGGTAGGGTTATATTACCTCTAGCCAAGGTACAGCTGCTGCAGCCACTATCATCCATCCATGGCAGACAGCATTGTGGCAATTGTGGTGGCAGGCTGCCATCAAAATAGCGTGGGTGATATTTCGTGCTCGATTGAAATTGTTTCACGAAACATATTTTTGAAACCAGGCATGAACGGTAGCCCGATCTTTGAGGACCCGGTGAAAGTTTCACGAAATCTCAGCACCGGGGAAAAGCAGCACAGCATGCATCGAAAGTCACATCGAAAGCAGACGCCGGTACGGAGTGTGATGCTCTCCCCCGGTGCTGCGCTTTCGTAGAACTTTCGCCAAGTCGTCAAAGACGAGGCTACCGTTCACGCCGGGTTTCAAGAATCTGCTTCGTCGAACAACTTCAATCAAGCACAAATTATCACCCACGGTACAGTGTGCTAGACCCACGGCTATTTTATGGCAGCCTGCCGCCATTGCGCTGTCCGCCATATTACTATGATGGCTAGAGATAATATAATTCTACCAAAAAGATGGCCAACCGGGACCGCATTCCCGTCCACAGGCGGAGCTGGTCAAACGCGATCCAGCAAATAGACATCGAGATCAGTGGAAACATATCACATGAAAGCTTGTATCTAAGCCAATTTAAAAATTATAATATTGTTAATTTAGGTATAGTTCATGTGAAAGAAACAACACTGTAAACTTGAGAAGAAATGCTAAAAAAAAACAAAATTCAACATTATTTTAAGAAAATATATTTTATTTTTAATTTCTTTAAAAGAAAAGCTTCTTATTTTTATTTCTAATCTTTTGAAAAGAAAAGCTTTCTGTTTGTTATACATGCAATAAAATTTCTTTGACATATATGGTTTCGTCATATAAAGCAGTGCATTTGAAAAGAAGACATATTTTTACATCTATTCAAAGATATGAGCCGTTGCAAAATCTTTTACGTAATTATTTATATATATATATGCCTATAACATGACCATAGTATTTATGATATTTATCATGTACTAGTTCGTAAAAATAAGGCATGACTGGTATGTTAGATTTTTAAAAAAGTTTATGAACACGTCCGTTCACTTAAAAAATCTTCAGATTCACAACTTTTTTTTTTTTAAATAAACTTATGGAAACATCTTTATTTATTTCAAAAGCAGAAAAAAACCTCCCAAACCTCTACGTCAGGCAATGAAGGGGCAAGATAAATTATTCTCAGACACCTAGCGGGCCGAGTGCGAAATTTTGCTTCTTTCATGTGGCCGCATTTTCACGTAAACTGGCGAGGCTCATTTAAAACTTCTCGACTTTCTTTTCATTTGAGGCATTAACAACGAATACAGATAAATAGGGGAAATGCATAAAAATACATAGCATTTTTAGTATTATAAACTCATAGTAAGTTTTATGGAAATAAAAGAAAAAGTGATTTTAAGTGAAATTAACATTGTTCTTGAGGATTCAGTTTTTTTAATTTTTTATCACAACCCTGAAAGACCCGTCTCTATTTTGAGCCTTCATCCACAAGTGCCAGGATTGATTGTAGTGAAAACTGCAAAAATCGCAAGACCTACCTTCTGCTCTTTTGAAGCCCGAAACTCAACAAAAAAAAAAGTGCCCTAGTTCTAATTTGCAGTCTTGTTCTAGACACACATTTTCCACCAAATATGTATATTTTTTACAGAATTTTGTGGACTATTATTTTTTCTTCCACGATTTGAAACAAAATCACGCTGACGCAACCTCCGTCAGACATGTTAAACTTTCCAAGCAGTTAATTTGAGGCTTTAGTATGTTGCAGTTCCTGCTAAAACCACTAGGGGCCCAAATAGAATATGTTTGGCAAGCATCAATGTGGCTGCAAGCTACTGTCCGGTGAGCTCTACCTTTTCTTGTCGAGAGGCAGTATTGAACACAGTTTTCTGGGAAGATACAGTAGCTTTGCCATTTAATGCTGCCTGCCCCTTCCTTCTAACTTCACGTTCAGTAAAAACAAGTTTCTTCATTCAACGTTTAGCACGGTTTCATTAACTAACAAAAAAAGTATTTGGGTGAAATTACACCTCGGTGTGGAATGAAGGCAATTGACCTCCTCAACCCCAGTTCCTGTCTCAAATGTGACGTCCAGAACGAACCGGATGGCTCACCTGCTGGGATGCTCCACAAATATGGAGAAAAAGCCAGAGGCAAGGCCGGCAAAGAAGGTAGAGTTCTGTAGGTACAGTTTACCGACATACCACCTGAAAGTATATGAAAAGAAAGTGCAGAGGAAGATATAGGCAGGCTCCTCTTGTGGTCAGTTCTGCCATAAGCATCTGTCATCGCCATGGCTCTATCAGAAAAAAAGCAGCTATCATAATAATAATAATAATAATCATAATAATAATATTATTTATTTATTTGTAGATAATCTCATCCTGGGTGGCATGCAAGGCTGTGCAGAAAGGTGAAAACCCGTAGACTAATGCGCCTGCCAGCCCACCACCCAAAATATAGAGTAAAAAATATTAAAAAAAAATAAACACACACATGCACACACAAACGTGCCAGAATGGCAAGTTTGTCGTTGCTGTTAATGCAGTCCAATGTGCTGCAGTCACAGATACCTAGCAAGGGCAAACAGCCGAAGCCAGCACAATACCTGTTGACACTACTTCAGTCCCGACTCCATAATTCTCACAAGGTGCAAGCAAGTCTGTAAATTTAGGTCTGTTCAGAGAGAACACGTGGTCCTGCATACGAATGAAAGCTTGTTTGGAGGTTTCGAGGTCATGCTCCACTTGGTGATGCACATTTTTCTCTTTCCTTTCGCGAGGCTCACATCTACTGCTTCTTTTTGTTAGAAAGGTTAGGTTATTGCAGATAAAATTTTATGTTTATTTCTTGTTTCTAGTCTCAAAGCTAGAGCCATGGCTTGCCACAAAACAATTATACTAAAGTGCCTCGATAGCAGTGGGCATGTCTCCCGAGAATGCAGCTTTTAGAATAATCTACATTGACATAGTGAACAGCCAGCTAGGGTGTAAAGGCATTCATTAAAAATAGGAGGAAACAGCACGGTTAACCAAATGCAAGACACAAGCCGATGTGCCGCATTCAGTGGAGACCGTCAAACTATTACTTGCATTTTTACAATTGAAATAACACACTCTCAAGAACAACTGATAAAAAAGTGTGACAGAAGACTTAAAAATTTATAGTTGGCACGGAAAACTACCAAACGTTCTCCTGATTCGCTCCTCTCTGTTACAATTCCTGCCAGTGCTTCGTACATCCATGGCCCAGAATTAGTCATTACCAGGATACCAGATTGATCCAGTCACACTTCCGTAAGAATTACATACGCTAGCCACTGCAGGAATTCATGCTATTGCTGGCGTGCATCAAACCATGTAGATACACTTTGGATTGGCATACCTAAAACTCCTTGACATCTGAAGTTTTAATTGAGAGCAACATATAAAACATACGTTGCACTGTGCCGACAGATCCACCAATCGGTGCAACAATTTATAGCAACTTTAAAGTTTGAGGCATTTATGACGACAGGTCGACAGACATCAACTCCACAGGTAAATTTCTCAATGTAAAGTATGCAATACATTAATATTTATTGACTATGTATACTGTCAGTGTTAGGGGGGGGGAGGTTGCTAACAACTTTTTCTTAAAGGGGGGGGGGGGGGGGTTGGAAAAGGGCAAAACTTATTTTCTAAATGTGATTTTGGACTTTATAGTGTCTTATTATCCTTTAATCTTCATAATTTTATGTATAAAAAGAACAAGGCCCCCCGGTATGACCGCATAATTAGTGAAATACTCATTTGAAGAGTTCCCGGCAACTCAAAATGGCATAAATCTTAACCATTCTTGCGTGTGAGATTTTCCAAATTGTAAAGTCATTTATGCTCAAAAGTAGGCCCAACTGTCTCCTCTCCATCACAGTCTTCTGTATCTTAATGGTTAACAAAATATTATTGACAAGAAATTATTTTTTCCTCCGCAAAATAGTGTCACTACACATCTATAGTAATGTTTGAATGTGTTCCTCTCTCTATGCAATTTTGGGGCATCTTCACAGCTTGTGTACAAGAATTTTCGTTCTTAATATTGTTCCATCACAACCAAATTTCACATACATATGCTTTAAAATATTTAGATTGCAACTATCCAAATTTCGATAGAATGTATATTTCTTTGTATCTATGAAAAGAAAAAAAAAGGAACTTTTGCTAGCCCTTTAAAAAGGGTGTTTTTTATTTAAAAAAAAAAAAGGAAATTTCTCTTGTACACAATTTTTTTGTTTGTTTATTGCACTCAGTGGTTAAAAAGGAAGAAATAAGTTTAATAGGTTCTTTTAAGTGTGTTGCCATACCCCACATATTTACAAGAACATGTTTTTTTCTCCATATGCATAGCATCCAGAGCATCAAAAAAGCAAGCTCTATCAAAGCTATTACCAGACTAATAAAAAAACGTGTCAAACTGTATATATAAACTGCGAAAATCAAATTCAGTTATCGTAAATAATAAACAAAAAAAGTCGGAAGACACCTAAGCACTTGTTATGAGTTGTGAATGCGAAAGCATGAATGTCCGACAATGAGCATGTTAGAGGCGGCGACACGTTCGTCGGCGTCGAGACGAGCAGAAGCACCGGCAACGATGTGGATGAAGGAGGCGACGGCATGATGGTCGGTGGCGAGACAAGCAGAAGCCTAAGAGCGCGCGCCAACGTGTCCGTTTTAGCCGGTGCGGGGCTCGTAGTGGCATGGGGTTGCGGGGGTTAGTTTTATCGGCGCGCTGGCGGCACGGACACGCAGCGCCATCTGGCGGCAGCCGTTGAAACTGGCGCGCCCAGCGGCCAATGGGAGCCCCGTCACCGTGCACCAGCCAATGGGACCTTTGGAATCAGAGAAACTAGGTGCCGTTTTCGCACTTCAAACTGATGACGTCGGCTCGCTCCATGGGGCAGTTAATGTTTTCGCATTAACATTTTCCCCTGGTGCATGTTTACTGGATGTACAGTCGGCACGGAATGAAACGCGAACATGGAGCACATGGTTTTCGACCCACGCTGAGTCACCTAGAGACACAACACCAGAGGTTTGGATGCACTGAGCAAGATTCTAACACATCGAAGGAGGAGCCATCTTCTTGCAGCTCCCATCTGGTTCAGGTGGTGCTGTTCTTTCATTCCGTGCCGACTGTACCTAAGAAATATTATGCAAGGTTTCACAATCTACATAAATACATCCATTGCGCAGAAAGAATTCCCTGGATTATCACTGGTCACATTACTTTTAGACAAAGTGTCAGCTTTCTGCATGGTTACAAAGATAATTATTGCTTGAGCATGCCATGTAGAAAAGCATGTTAGCCATTCTTACCTCGGTGGTAACCATCTCCACCGACAAACATGTTCTCATCAACTTGCCTGAGGAAACAGATGAAGAACATGAAGAGCATGACGTTGTAGCTGAGGAACGACGCTGACCGCACTGTGTTCAGCAGAGTCTCAGCAAACGCCTTGGCAGTCGCCTTGCGCCCCACGAGCTGACCCAGCTGCAACAAGGGAGAGGGTCACATTTTCCTGCCAGCTTCAGACCAAATGGAGAACTCACTAGCTCGCTTCTGAATGTGCTATATCTAGGGTACCGTGTTTTCGGAGTTCATTTTTCTTCAAATTTGGAGGGTGTGTTTCTGAATTTATTTTTTGCCAAAAATCCAGAGTTTTTTGGAGTTTATTTTTGTTTAATTCCCGATTCTCCGAAATTCATTTTAATTATGCAGTGCCTCCTGTTAAAACAAAATAAACAAATAAATATTATCCACATGTAAATATATGCCAGATAAAGATATCAAACGCGCTTGTGTCAATTAATATTTTTTAAGCTGGATTTGGTGTTGGCGCCATTTCCATTGGCGATACTATAGTCCGTTGCAACCTAAGAACAAAGGGCGAGCGTAAGACTGGCCGGGGAGGAGGAAGCAGACGGAACGCCGGAGAAGAGAGGGGGAAACCTCCTTCTCTCTTCAGCGTTCCGTCTGCTTCCTCTTCCCCGGCCCGTCTTACCCTCGCCCTTCGTTCTTAGGTTGCAACGGACTATAGTTTGTCCCATGACAAAAGCTGCACAGAAGTGTTGTTTCGATAAACATCAATACCTTAAAATCAATAAACTCCTGGAGGAAGTCGCTGGGTGTCCTGTATTCATCCCATCCTATTCCATCAATCTATCCCATGGCTGCGCGAGGTGTAGTGGCTAAAGACCGACCTACAATATAATTTGCCCTATCCTCCTCGCCACCCTTCCTCTTTTCTCCTCTCCCCCTGGTATCTGGACGAAGGGGGTACTCCTCTTGTTGCTGTATCTTAGGGCTGGTTAAGCTGAGAGCTTATCCCAGCTTATCCGGCCCCAAGGTGCAACAAAGAGTCCCCCCTCCCCCTCTCTCTGGGAGTGAGAAAAAAGGGAAGCGTGGCAAGGAGGCTTTTTCTACCTTGCGGAAAAACTTTTTGTAGGTCAGGCTTTAAGGATGTTCTAATAGAGAAGTTTGAACTGCCCCTCTTCCAAAATTTTATGCAATCTCTATGGTCCATAGCTTTCACTATTACAAAAACACAATCTCTCCTTCCTCTAAAGCACAAATAGTATGGCCCAAACAGGAAACCAAAAAAGTGGCTCTTATCAAGACCTGAATTTACAATGACCTGTTGTCCTGAATGAACCTTGACAAGAATTATGGTGATAATTACGGTGGCATTTTCCCAGAATGATTGACCCTGCACTAATCAAAATGCAAAATATTGTCCTTTTTTTTTTTTTGTTAGGGGGGGCGGAGGAATGGCACATCTAACTTTGGAGTTTATCGGATCAATCCTAATTGACAACAATTTTACCGGTGAGTGTTTTTCAGATTTATCCGTAAACACGGTACTTTAGCTATATCGTCCAGACTATATCTCTACGAATGGTGAGCTCCCCTAGTTGGCTGCCAACCTAATGGTAATTTAACATTAGACAATGGTAAATTCTGAAGGAACCAAATGTCTGATAAGGCAGACAATTGGCAGCAGCAACAAAATGCTGATTGGCTTCTTTGCTTGAGCGATTGTGGCTTTCGGAACCAATCAGCAACCAAAGAGTTTTCAGGCTTTGAACACTAGCACTCTTTTGCAGTTGTAGAGTAAACATTTCAGGTGGCGGACTATACGAGTCTAGATTAAAATGTTTCTGGAATCGGCGCCAGCAGGTCGTTTGGACCAAATATTTTTATATTGTTGTGTTGGCAACTGTTTTTCTATGAATTGACCGGAAATGTCAAGCTGATCAGTTAAATGGTCTTGTTTTGACATTTAAACATGAACAGAAAAGAGGTAGGAGCACAACAGAAATAAAATCTAGGTTGGAAGCCATTCTTGGGGATTCATAACCTTCATTCTTCACTGCGAGGTTTGGGTTTTGAAATTCAAGCGTGGCTGCACACATGCAAGTGATGAACCATCTACAGAACGTCCGAAATTGGCTACCTCACCTTTGAGCAGATAGCTGATAAGAGTGTTAAATTGAGGAAACTGTGGGCATCTCTTATGAATGAGTAGTTCATAATGTATTGGGTTTTAACAAACATTCTGAAAGATGAGTGCTGCATTTGCACAATATGGAGCAGATCTGTGTATTGAGTGCTTGCTCCTTGTCAGCAAACCTTGACAGAATTGAAGTTCAAAACCCTTTTGCGTCCACCCGATTTGGCTCTCTCGGACTTCCACTCGTTCCCAAAATCCAAAGTCTTCCTGGCTGGGAAGAGATTTCGGTCGACTGAAGAGGCGATCGAGGCTCTCTACGTTGTTTTTTTTGTATCCTGAATAAAGCCATTTTCGGGAGAGAATAGAGAAGCTAGAGGAACATTGGACGAATCACGTTGAGCTTCAAGAGGATTAAATTAAAGAATAAAATATAAATCGAACCAGATTTATCTCCTTTTCATTTCAGAAACTTTTTAATCTACCCTTGTAATTCATCTCAACATGAACCAACTGCAAGGGCTACGAGTGCGAACGGGAAGCTTTGACTGGCACACCCGCTGCACCAGTGCTTGTGCAGCCAAGGCACGATCAAACGCAAAGAGCAACAGCTACTGACAGAAAGAGGACGGCAGGGCATGCCTTTCGAACATCCGGCCTCCAGCACGTGTTCACCTTCCACAGTGCTTCGGCTGTGCGTGTGCGCTCGAGGTGCGCCAGTTGCCGAAGCACCGTCGAAGGTGGGAAGCTCACGCCTGGAGGCAGGATAACTGAAGCTCCCCTCTGCCATTCTCGCTGTGTCAGAGACTACTAGCCCCGAGCAGGACCGATTGGAGCGATGCGATCGCTGGATGACGACATAGTGACCAGTATCACGCGACGGGGCCAGGTATTTTCTCCGTCTTGCTTTAGTTGCGTGATTTTGCACGTAGCAGCAGAAACTGCTTGCTAAGTATATTTTGTCTATGCTACGAGGCAAAACGTGCTTAGAACGAAACCTAAAAGACAAATCCAAATACACCAAGCGAAACGACCGGTAGTTGTGTGTAGGTTACGATGGAATCGTACGATAGCTTCATGGTTGCCAACACCGCTCGGATACTTTGCCACGGAGATCAACGAGCATACTTCTACGTGCCCTTCGGCACTTGTTTACTTCAAGCAGCAAAGGAAAAGAAATATGTGCTCGAAGCTACAATGCTTGGTGAAGGCCGCTCGATCCATGGATTCTGGAAGCGACGACGAAAACCTCACCGGCTTGAGCGGCTGCAGACGTACTAGCAAGGCGTTCGTCACTCGCTGCCCTTGACTAGCTGCTTTGTTGAATATAAGATGCTTGTGTGACCCTTCCCTATAATTTTCTCTTTTTAAGTGGACCCTTTCCGCGTTTGAACCTTGACCTATATTTTCCGGTTAGAAGGCGAGCCTTATCTCTTCGTAGCACTCTTTCCATTTTTGATGTGTTGTGCGGTGCTGGCAGAGGCTCTTGCCACAGTGACACATTCGTTGACTCTATCTGCTACTTTTCTTGGCGTAGAACTCAAATGAACATGGTATGGATTACTCTCGCATCATGTGGTACATACACAGTCATTTTTTTAGTCATTATGTCCCTTTTATTCCAAGGTGACGGTACAAACGTCGTCACGGATTGAGGCAGAACATGTCTCGGTAGCTATGCGACATCGGTGCAACGCTTTCTTTTGCGAGCTCGTGTCATTATCGAGACCGAAAATTTACCACAGAAGGTAATGCACTGGTGATGCCGCACATGCGTGATATTTCAAACTCCATTAGCTTTCACAGGCCACAATAACCTCAAAACTGCGTAAACAAACTAAAAAAAAAAAACGCCGAACGAAATATTAAGTTTGATGCCTGCTCAACAGTACTCGCAATTGGTTTCTGCTTGCTGTTTCCGACAGTCTGTCAAAAAAAATTGGTCGGTGCATAGGTGTACTATGCTGTATAAATTTCCGTAGAGCTACATGTGGTGGCACAAGAAATGCGAGGGGGTGATATAAAAGAGGCCGTGCCTGGTTCACTTGTCCCATGTGTTGTTTGTGGCAGCTGGAGATACATCCACGGACTCAAGCTGAAAAATGATGGCAAGTGCGCAAGAGGTGAATGCCCGTGACTTGGGGTCCCATAGAAGCAATTTTGCAGCTCCCCATGCCGTCATCTCCCAGTTGCATATGCGGAATTGCACGCGAAATAAGTCGACGGAGTTGATTGGACCATTTCAAATGCACAATATGTTTTTTCGGGAGGAAGCACACACGAATGAAAGGACCCGACGGTACCTCCGTCGTGGATGCATCAGAATGTATACCGCGTCATTGGTGTACCGCATTGTGAGGGATGCGTCTTCGAGCATGAGAGCTCACAGTTCTTTTGTTTTCTTATTTCCGCATTCAAAGTAACTTCAAATTTCTCTTGACGTGCGTGACATCATTTCCGTGACCAGGTTTTCACAACATTCTCAGACCAAGTTTTCGTAAAATCAACTTTCCAACCTTAAAACCCCTTCCAAATTTATTTTGACTTGCGTTACATTACTTCCATGACCAAATTTTTGTGACATCAACTTCCCAACTTTGCACCCCCTTCCAAGTGCAAAAAAGGATGTATCTATCTGTTTTGTCACTTGAAGAATCTTCCAAAGCCACGACTGACTGGGTCGTGGTCAGTGCTGGGTAACACGAAGCAGTCAATGGGTCCTGTTCCACAGCCCGTAACACCACTGTTGTCGCGCTGCTCGAGCTTAATTTGATGAGAAGTATAACAAAAAGATTAAGACATAAGCGACCCTAAACTTTTGTTAAAAATAGCAAATTAAACATGAGTTGTGAACGACAACCTCATGGGCAAGAAGGTCACGTGATACCTGTTCCTACATCACGACGAGGAGTCGTCAGGTGGCGCCACTCTATGTTCTCGGGACTCATAGACCCTTTCCGAACTTGTAAAATGATGCATAGATTATGCGCAGCTGCCATTAGTTGGTCTAATGCTTCCGGCAAAAAGTCAGTGATTGGTTCCGAGTTCGTGCCGAGCACTGGTGTGGAATCTGTTTCGATCCGAGTACCCTCCGAATGCTGACGAAGTGCTCGTGTCCAATGCATACTCACAGTGAATGAGCAACAAATGGAAACCGCACATAATCTATGCATCATTTCGAAAAGGCTTTAGAGTGCCCGCATCGCAGATAAAATATAGAATCAGCGCGACGGAAGTGTGAAGCTGGAATACAGCCAACTGGGCTGGGAACCAGTCCAGATGACTTAACCAGTTGACCTTGACTTACAACAATCTTCGGGCAGATTTATCTCTCCGATGTGACCAAGCGTACAAACATTGCCTTCTCTTGATTGTACCGCCCACTTCGTTTGAGGTAAACGCTTGCTTTTAAAATCTTTGGGACCTGCATGGACTGGGCCTGTGACAAGGCAACTGACGACATGCCAAACTGCTTTACTTTAATTCTCTCATGTGTAAACAAAACAAAAAAAAAAATTTGTGGTACGTGCTTGTATGTTTAGACAGCCTTGATGCTAGCACGCCTCAACGGGTGACTTGTCTCTTAGCTGTAGTTGAGAAATTTAGCCAGTGCAGTAGAACCGCTAACCTGGCCATGCCGCGGGTCTTTAACGTGCACCATGCAGTAGTGAATACATAAACGCATGCGAGTACGAAAATCATCCAGATTAAAAAGGGCAGGAGGTGGGTATCAAAAACCCAGGAGGTGCTGCAGTGCAAGCTTTCGCTCCACGCTCCGAGCTGAGACGCGTTAGATCACTCGGCCACCGATCCCCCATCCTCTCGTGTAGTGTTATATGCGAGAAGCTTCCAAGCCTAGCCTGCCTTTCAGTACCAGGTCCAATGCAGAGTTTGAGCATATTTTGCCAGTAACAGATGCAATGATCTTGGCGGAAGTAATTAAAGGACGTTTTTTTTTTGTGTTAATTAATCTCTTAAAAGGGAATGTTCATAATAACTTCATTTTGAAGCCTATTTCTCCATTCGGGCTTCGTCTGCGCTAGATATATCTTGCCTTGTTCACTAGCAAATAAGCTAGAAGCAGAGCTGTCAGTAACACGCTCCATGCATTTTTATGTTTACAAAAATATTGTACTTATCAGCAAAGCGATTACAACCAGGTCACAGTTAGGTAGTCTAGGTAACAGAACAACAGTGAGCGCAGCTGGCAGTAACGATGACGATTCACTTCGCTTGAATTAATATTTTTTCCATTGCCGCTGCCACTGCTTCTGTAGGGCGACCGAAGACCATGTCAAGCTGATTTATCAGCTTTTTCTTCGGCCTCCCTTATTTTTTTTTTTTTTTTGTTGAATGGGAAAATAAGATATTTGATTTGATCTCCAGCGATGCGATCTCCAGCGATGATGCGGCTCGCGCACATGAAAGTTTCACGCCGATATAGTCCGACTATTAAATAAATAAACAGTGATTTGAGCAACGAAGCCGCGTACAAACGGTACCGCTGTCCCGCAAACGAGTACAAACAAATAAAGAAAAAAACTTTAGATAAAGGATTACAAATTAGCAGGCACTCACCGAGGTCAAAAACGAGTCGATATAACTGCCCGCGGCCAAAAAGCGAAAGCCGAGACCACGCGTATTCAAAGGATTGCGGAACAAACTCGCTGTCCCCTTTGCGAACTGACAAAAGTGGCTGTACGAGGAAAAGTGGCTTAACCGGTCAGCCGCAGGAGATGCCATTCCCGAGACAGCTGGTCTCGACGCTGGCAGGCGTCCGACGGCGACCCGAGAACGGTGGGCCCGCAGGTTGGGTTCGCGCCCAGCGTTTGAATGCTGCGCGTGAGGCGCAAAATCCGCGACGCACAGACACGGGGGAGCGAGCAGTGTCTGTCGCGCGACACGCGGGACGGGAAGTTGGCCTTACCAGATACAGCAGGGCATAGAGTTTGAAGGAGTTGGTAAACGTATCGGCGAACATGGCCACCCAACTGGCCGTACACGAGGGCTCCCATGGGTGTGCGATCTCGTAGCAGAAATACGGCAGGCTCGTTTCCAGGAGTTTGCTCAAAGCCGCCATAGCGACCAACGCGAACCGCACTGTCTGCTCCAAGCGGCGGCTGTTGACAGTTGATTACTGCGCATGCGCGCGGCGGGAACGTGCGGCGCGCCGCCCTGGCGGTAGCGTCCCGGCAGTCCGCTTGCTGCGGCTTTGGCTGCGCGGATGAATGGATGGACGACGAACAAGGAAGCAGGAGAGGGGGCCGCCACTTTCCCTATGTCGCGGGAGGCAGCAGCGCGGGGAAGCCCACCGCCCGTGAGGGCCCAGGCAGGCAGGCAGAACGAGGACGCGCGTAAAAGGGCCACTTTTATTTCCACAGGATCGCCAGGTTACACGTCGCCCTCCGCGGGCAGTCCATCGTCATCACAGTCTGGTCCAGCAGGAGTCCGACGGGGCTGGCCCCGGGAAGACACACACACACGCAGGGGGCGGGCATTAAATAGGCACCAGCGGGCTATCAGCCCCAGGTCTGGTTGAAGGAGTCCTGGTACCACTGCTGGCCGTCGTCCTGGCTGTTGTGGAAGCGGCGCTTCGAGTCCCCCTGGTTCTGGTGGGCGCCGCCGTCAAACTTGCGCTTACCGGCCAGGCTTCCCCTGGGGGGGGCGGCCCCACGGGCCCCCCCACGGCTGGCAGGGCCCGGCCCCCGGCCAGCGCGAGCGCGGGGGGCCCGCCCACGGCCGCGCCCCCCACGCTGCGTCGCTCCACGCTGGCCACCACGAGCCTGCGTCGGGGGAGGACGGGGGTTGGCAGGGGCCCCAGCTGGGAGGGCTACCATATCCGAGCGGCACACACGCGGCGGCGCCCGCTTTCCCGGCTAGGGAGCTCGGATATGCTAACCGTGGAGAGAGAGGCAAAGAGGACCCACCCGCTCTGGAGCAGCCCGGCCACGGGGGGGCGCCGCAGCTGGGTAGCCGTAGTCATAATAGTCATCATAGCGGCCGTAATAGTCCTCATAGTAGGGGTCCGCATAGCCGCCCCGGTAGTCGCTATACCCATAGTAGTCATAGTCGTAATCTAGAGCACAGAGAGAGCCTGTGTTGGTGACGCCACGTTCTCGAGCGCCCCCCGCCGGGAAAACGACGCACCCCCCCGCCCGGACCCGCAACTCACCGTAGCTCCTGGGACCCACGGGGGGCCCCCGGCCGCCCCCGCCGCCCCGGGGCCCCCGCAGGGGCGGCGGCGGGGGCATGCAGCCCATCATCCGGTAGTCGCTCACGTCCCTGCAAAAGGAAGAGGGAGCTGCGGCAGTCGCCTTTGGACGGCACAAATCACCGGGCCTTCCTTCAGCCTCAATCACGCCCAAACTTTGTCGAGGATCACCAATTCAACAATTTCAAGGGCAACGCAGACAAAGCAACTTCTCAACTTTCAACAATCGAAGGTTGTTGAAGAGACTGCTCGTTTGTGTTGTTCCTCCGTAATGTTGAATGACATTCCCTGCAATAGGAGGATTACACGAACCATACAATTTCAGTTTCACCAACATTGGAGGAACTGCTTTGTTTGCGCCGTCCCTGCATGTTGTCACCTTTCGAATCTGCAACTGGCACCGACACACTCGTTACAAAAAAACTATTGCATGGGTACAAGTCATTTGACCAAACTATGCGGTGAAGGAGGCTCTGGTGCATACATGTTGTGTGGACAGATAATGATGGAGAGGTTAAACTGACACTTAAACCTACGGTTAGAATGCAACCTGCCTTTTCCCAGAGACTGCAGAACACCTGAAAGACATCTCCATAGTACGAGTCTCCCTGCTCCTGATGGATAGACGAAGAACGTCGACGCACAAATACTTGCCCCGACTAAGTTTCTTACACAGCGCTGTCGACGCTTCAGGCACAAACGCATGGCAATTTCTGGCATCTTGTTTGTACAAGAGTGTGTGCCAATCAAAGGACAGGCCAAATCACACAGGCGGCTATCACGACATTTTGCATACAAAACGGAGAACATGAAGTCTTTAAATTTCACCTCCACTTTGCAAACTTGTCTCGACGAGCTAGGTACAGCTCTGTCCGCTCGGCAATTTGTGCAACTCCCAACACAAGGGCATGAATAAATTAATTCTGTTTTTTGGCACATCAGCAGTGAAGGCTACGGCAAAGTGACAAAAGAACCGTGACGAGAAGGGTCGCGGCCTGAGCCCCGCCGGGGCCACTCACACAATGCGCTGCTGCATCATCTGCATCATACGACGCTCGCGGTTCCGCAGCACCTCCTCCTTCTTCTTCTTGTCTGATGGAGGCTTGGCCAGCGAGACCTCCATGGGTGCCCCGCACAGGTCCTTCCCCTGCAGCTGGTTCATTGCCTTCACCGCGTGGTCCCGCTCCTCGAAGTGCACAAAGGCGTAGTCCTTGATCTTCTTGACCCGCTCGACGCGGCCGTGTTGCTCAAACAGCTCCTTGAGCCGCTCCTCCGTCACGTCCGCCGTCAGGTTGCGTACGTACAGGACCTTCACCTTTGCCATCGTCTCCTGGTCGGGCTCTTCCTGTGGGTCAGCCCAGTCCACTATGATGTCGCAGCTCCAGACCTTGATGCGCCCCGTGCTCAGGCGCCGCTTGGCCAGCGACGCCGCCTTGTGCGACTCATACTCCAGGAAACAGAAGCCCCGGTTCTTCTTCTTGTCGTCGGGCGAGCTGTAGATGATCACCTCCGTCAGGCCGGCTGAGGGGGACGAAAGACAAGGCCAGGTTAGGCAACAGACCGCGACACAGAACTGCCGTCCCCTCCCAACTCACGCGCGTGCTTGGAGAACTCCTCGTACAGCTCCTCCTTGCCCCGGTTCTTGGGGATGTTGCCAACAAAGAGCCGGTGGTTGTTGATGGAAATGGTCACCCCGATGTACTTGCCCTTGCGGATCTCGTAGTTGTCGAGCTGCGGGGGGGACAACAGGGCGGAGCTGCCACGCCGCTCGCGACTGCCCCCGACGCCCGGGCGGCGGCACCTACCTCGCGCACAGAGTTGTGAGCCCCGTCCCGGTTGCAGAAGGTGATGAAGGCATAGCCCCGGTTCAGGCCAGACAGCGGGTCCATCATGAGCCGCAGGTCCCAGATCCGGCCGCACTTCTCGAAGAGTGGGATGAGCTCGTCCTCGAACATGTCCTTGGGGATCTTGCCGACAAACACCTCGCAGCCGGACGCCGGCTGGGGCCCCGTCCAATCCGGCGGTGGGCCGCCGTACTTGCGCTGGCCCGTCGTCACATCCAGCGAGTAGCCCGTGCGGTCCAAAATGGCGCGAATCTTGTCCTCGTCGGGGCCTTTCTGGGCGCCCGAGCCCGATGCCCCCGGGAGCTTACTCTTTTGCCGGTACGTTTTCATGACGCCGCACAGGTAGGCCGACTTGTTCGACACGTGCTCCAGGCTGCTGTCGAGAAACTGCTTAAGAACGGCCAGCGCCCCGTCGGCCGGGAACTCCTTGAGCGCGTCTAGCGCCCGCTCGTCCAGGTCTGCGTAGGCCAGCTTGCCCGTCTGGAAGATAGCGTCCAGCTGGGCCGCCACCTTCTCCTGCAGTCCGTGGCCCAGGAGCTTGGCGTAGTCCGGGCTCTGCTCCACCGCCTCGTCGGTGGGTTCCACCGCCGTCGCGTCCCCGTTGCCCTCGGCCATAGTTTTCTGCGCGGACACAGGAAGCGATCAGACAGCGCGGGCGGCCACCGAGGGCCGCGTGACCGGCGGTAGCGGCGTTCGACCACCGCGCGAACACGCGGAGCACGCCGCCGGCGTCCCATCCCGCCATGACGCCACTCAAAACGGCCAACTGCCAAATTAGGCCTCGCGGACGCTCGCACGCCGCTCGACTCCCATCGGCGAGTCGGCCCCCTCCCGGGCCCCATCGGATCCGTACGCCGCACACTTGACCGCGATCGCGTCTTTGATCCGAGCCGATTCGGCACCTCTGACCCCTCGAGAAAGCCCGCGCAGGGCGCGCAAAACAAAGAGAGGGGGGGCCCGGCCTAGTCCTACGCCGGCCCGCGTTCGGCGCGCTTGCCGGCTCGCTCCCGGCCCAGTTCGAACCCCCAACGACTCGCTCATCGCTCAAAACGTGTGCAGAGAGTTTCATACTCACTTTGAAAGCCGATTACTTGAGATGGAAAATATTGGATACCGATACGAGGGGCCAAAATAGGTCCCAGTCCCAACCTAATGGGAATGGGCAGCAACGTGAGTGACACATGCACGGGGAGCCCAATGTATTCCAAAGGGCCGCGCCGTCCTTCGGGTTTCGCGCCAGCAGCGGCGCTTGGGCGGTCTCGAACGCCTGTTTGAGTGGGCCTGAAGTTTGCACTGTCCAGCAAGTCGGCCTGGACACCGGCGGCGACAGCAAAACGGTGACAACGCGCTAAAAGGTGCGCGCACTACTTCGCGTCGCGCAGCCGAGGCGCTTCCTCCGCTTTCCCACATGAAAAGGGCGCCATCCTTGTTTTGATTGGCGATCCTTGGCGGGGGTTGCTTTGTCTTTACGTTCGGCGGTTGAGGGCTCCCTCTGCCCTTCTTTTCGAAGGTGCCGTCCAGCGGGCTACTCAAAGAAATGCCGAACGATGCTTCACAGGCGCGGCGGCGGTCCGGTGACTCGTTGGCCCCTGTGTTGACTGTCCATTGGAGAAGCGCGTGGTGCTCTGCTTGCTGTGTTGTTTTGTAACGGCGCTAGCGGCGCTCTCTTTGCGAGCAGTACACGGCGGTTGCACAGCGGCGGCGCGATGCCGCGCTTTCAAAGTGCCTGTGAACATTTTGTTTTATTCAACAAAAACCGAGATTGAATGAAACGAGAGCTAATGACCGAGCTTGTCATTAAATGTTTCTAAAGATTGAGTGGCGGGATTATATTACGTAAATTGAGGAATTAGCATAATAGATAACACAGTCGCTGACGTTAAGCGTCATAGCGTGAAAACATTGGTTACACCACATGGTTTACACCCTTTTCTAGTTCACACAGCACATGGAAAACGACTTCGTTTTGCACCACCGACTCCCCGACTTGTGGCTCTGGCTGCTCTGGGTCATGCGTGTTGAGCAGGTTAAATTTTCCTTTCAACCTAAAAACCACTCTAGCAGTGCGCCGACCTTTGTTGATCACGATCACAGTCTAACAGTCTCATTACCAACGCCGTAAAGTTGCAATATTTTTTACAGCTCCATAGAAAAAGCAAAAAACAAAACCGAAACTCGTAGGTGCGTCAGGTACGTTTTGCACGGAATGGCACGGAAGGTCTTGTTGCGTGAGGCGCTGGTGCGCGCACACGGCGCGCACGGCGCACACACACACAAGCTGGAGGGGACAAAGGGAGGGGAACACAGAAATAATTAAACAAACTATTTATGATTCTAATATATTTGCAGTAGAAAATTTTTAAATAAGATTTTATTTATGATTTTTTATTTATAGACGTCGACTACTATGAAATCCGTGGATTATACTAGTCCTGGAATCCAAGTCAATCCAGCGTTTGTCGTCGCTGTACCGCTGTACTGGCTGTACCGCAGGACGCCTGTAGCGCTGGACGCCGCTGTAACCTTCAACCAACGCAAGGCCGCTACAACTACAACTACAGCTACAGCGTAAAATGTTGAAACATTGACTGCGCTTTATAACTTCACAGACGCATTGTTTCGGATTACGCTTCCGCAATCACCAGCCACCATGAGAACAGCCGTAATTGCAGCCACCCGGCCAAAAGAGCGTTCGTATTGCCTTCGTCGGGCCGCGCACTGACAAGGGAGAAAGCAGAAAAAGGAAAAAAAAAAAGAAGGACCGTCGCTTCCCTCGTCGGTTGTTTGACCATAAGCCAGGATGTCAGACACCTGGAAAGACATGCAAGCCTTCAAGTCGCGGCAGACGAGCCTCCGTGAGCGTCTGCAGCGGCGCAAAAAAGAGCGGCAAGAGATCGTCCAAGGCATTTCGGCCGAGGCCTCCGTCACCGACGACGGGTCCGCGGTGGGCGCCGCCGCTACCGCGGCGCCGACCTCGGGAGCCAGTAGCCAGCCCCGGTCACCGCAGCCGCACTCGCCCCGAGCGCAGCAGGACCCGGAGCCCGACGGCAGCACGGCCGCCGACGTCGAGGAAGTCGAGAGGCGGCTGCTCCGCTGCTTGCTCGATGTGGCCCTCGACCTGCCGGCGGATTCGAGGCGTCTCCAGGGTGTCGTGAGTCGGTCCCTGGGCCGCGAGGTGCCACACCTTGACCTGGAGAACCTTCTGCACAAGCTGGCCGCGCAAGAGTTGATTGGCGTCCGCGAGTCGACCACGGCCGAGGGCGAGGCATGCCTGCTCGTCACGTCGGCCGAGCACACCCGGCTGCAGGCGTTCGCCCTCGCCGACGGCGCCGAGGCGCCCCAGTCCCGCGCAGGCACCAAGCGGCAGGCCCCGGACCCGATCGAGTCGCTGCTCTCGCTGCCGTCGGCGCGCGAGAAGGAGACCAAGCAGCTGGGCGAGGAGATCCTCGAGCTGCTGAGCAAGCCGACGGCCAAAGAGCGCTCGCTCGTCGAGCGCTTCAAGTCGCAGGGCGGCGCCCAGGTGCAAGAGTTCTGCCCACAGGGCACCAAGGAGGAGTGCAGCCGCGCGCTGTCCGGGGCACCGTGCACCAAGCTGCACTTCAACAAGATCATCCAGAAGCACACGGACGAGTCGCTGGGGGACTGCTCCTTCCTCAACACCTGCTTCCACATGGACACCTGCAAGTACGTCCACTACCAGGTGAGCGACACTCCCTTCCCAAGCACGGTGTAAGAAATAGATAGAGCTGCCAGATAAAATCCTCCCTGCCTCATCGGTGCCAGATAACTCTGGTAATCAGCTAGTGGTTGCCCACCCAGTTTCCCATGCTATTCTATGGGACACATGCTTGTTTTTAAAGTCATTTTCTTTGTGTCGTCATTGACCCTAGTTTCGTGCCTCAAAGGCAGCTGAACAGTTTTATTAATGTGTTGAAGCTGAGAGATCTCTGGCACAGCATCCAAAGTTCGTAGAGGTCAGAGCAGACATGCCGAGCAGAAGAAGCACACAAAGGTGCCGTGGCAATGGGACACTTTTTTTTCTTTTTGTTTGTGTGACAAGTACGTAGCACCCCCCTCAGTCCGCCCGTCTGTGGCCGCCAGGCTCGGCAGGCAACATTGATCACCGCGCCAACGCTTTTTCTTTTTTGCTTAGTTGTGCTGTTAGGCCAGTGGGGACGCTGTCGCAATGGGCTACGGGGGTCCAGAGGATTTTATCTGGTCGATCACATTGCAGCATTCGTTGTGCTGTCTGTCCACACCTATATATACCTTACACCATGCTCCCAAGGCTCGCTGCCGTGCCACCGTACTTCACAGCTCTCCCCACCCACCGCACTCCATGAAAATAGGTTCTACCAAAAGCACCTTGAGTGTGTACAGTCCAAGCGACAATCAGTACCGACGACAAAGAATCAAAAAATACTTTGCATGGAAGAGCACAGTGCCTTAGAGTTCTTTCTTCTGCTGTTCACTTGGAATTCCACCGGAAACCGGCACAGTCTTACCATTTGGTGCCAAAATTGCCACTTCTCCCATCTCTGCAAAGAGCACGTGACTTTGCATCTTGCATTGCTCCATGAAGATAAGCCGTCTGGTGGCCATGCTCGTCTGGAACGTCATGTGACCTCTTATGCTGACTGTTGGCATTCTGGTTAAGAGAAAAAATAAAATAGCTGAGAGGGAGATACAAAGGGAAAGAAAGAGTAGGTAGCTTTTAGAAATTTATCTTGTTTTATTACACCATTGGCTACTTATCCCCCTTTTGTGTATGTTAAGTCTTCTGCAATGTCTTGTCTCGTGTCTAGGGTTCTGCACTTTAAAAACAATATTGGAATGAGTTTGATTCTTAAAATCTCGCCTTTAAAAGAGCCCCTTCATATGTCTCTCCTCCATAGATTTTTGGATGGCATTTTCCCTCCTATCTGTCTTGAGCCTTCTATCCTGAGGAGCATAATAAGAGCAAAAGTGTTTTGTCAGCTCATGAATAGGTGCGTTCAGTAGCGGCTCCCTCAGCTCAGAATGGAGTAACCCGAGTCGGAGCTCTCGGAGCGTCTACTGAACGACAAAAGAGCATGGCTCTTCAGCTGCAGTTTCAGCTTCCTCCCCTGTGGCAGACAGTCTTCGAATAAAATGAAAACAGACGATGCCGAGCATGATCACTTTTATTTGACGCAAGTATTGAGAAAGTCTCGACACAGTCGTTGAAGAAAAAGCGAGTGACTGTAGACACCAGCGCTGTCATTAGAAGCAGAGTGATGGAGTCCTTTGCAGGGCAGTGCAAAGGCTGCTACTGTTATAAAGGCTGACAAAACGACCCAACACATGCAAAATATGGAGCTTGATTATCTATGCAGCCGGTTACGCTACTTTTATACAGCCATATATTTGTTCTGCACTCCTTTAAGATGTTCCTATGAAATATATACAAATACACACATGACGTCGGCCACACTTAGCGATCAAGCTTTTGTCGGCCAAAAAGAGCATCAGCCGACGTATCATACTAGCGTACACCTTGGTTTAGCTACGCAAACAAAACATTAATCGGAATCACGTTCTGCATGAGTGTCCAACGGACAAGACTATCGTCGATAATCACTGAGTTTCCGTGCAAGGGTAATCAAAACATGGCGCCAGGTGAACATTTATATGGTTTGTTACCATATCCGAAGCGAAAAAATATATGCTTCAAGACATCTTCTGAAAGGAGCCTGTGCTGGTAACGAAATCCAAACATGTTTTTCGTCTTACCTTGAGCACTTTTCATTAACAAAAGCGAGCAAACCGCTGACCCACACTGCAGCCAACTTAACTTCTCCCGCCATTTTTTCTTTTTTTTTCTTTCTGCATGAGAATTTAGTTTGCAATCCGGAAGTGCATCATACCTTCCTCTTTTTGCTCCTCGTGTACCATCTCCAAACTCGGTGCTCAAGAGCTTCGAGAACTCGGAGTTGCATGCATCAGAAGTCGTTTTTCGTCGTCCAGTGGAAGGAGCTCTGACTCCCCGACTCCCGGAGCCACTAATAAACGCGCACATTGTCTGACACAAGCAAGTTTCTGTGAATTTTAGACTTTGTGTGATAGACATTCATTTACAAAATAGTCCCTCGCGTTTGCAGAAAGTTTTTCAAAATTTTCCCATCCTTTTTGACATGTTCAAAAAAAAAAAGAGTAAAGCAAAGTTTCACAAGTACAGAGCGAGAAAGTCTGACATGTTCATAATCAGCGAACGTGCTTCATACAGAAATAAAAAAAAATTGCAAGTTTGATATGATGCAACAAAAATACTCTTAAATACTTTGAATTTCGGAATATACAAAATAACTCAAAGGAATGCTCTCTAGATTTGCTTCCAAAACCCACGTACAGCGGCGTAGACTTTCCACTTTCCCGGGTGGGGCAGGCTGAGTTCTTCCGGGGGGGGAGGGGGGGGTGTTGCGCGTTATTTTTTCGCCAGAACTGGAGATTGAAGCTAACGAAAACACGCTGGAATTCCACTTCCCATGTATTGTGTCAATAAAGGCAACGTGCACATTCTTTTGTTTACATGCCTCTACTAGAAGCTCGTTACATGGCACGTAAACAGCGTCTCGGTAAGGATCATGGCCCGGGCCCGGGGGGGGCTCTGCCCCCCCTTGAATTTTACCAGGGGGGGCACGAGCCCCGTTGCCCCCCCATAGTCTACGCCTATGCCCACAAAACCCTTTTTGCCTCCCACGTAAACACGAGTGCCATCAAACCAAGACTGGACGCCTTCAGGTGGACAGCAGCACGCAGACGACGCCGGTGACGACGACGCGCCCCAGCTCAACGTCTGCCGTAGTGCGCGGCCTGGGGCCAACGGTGCTGCACCCCCCGCAGTGGATCCAGTGCGACCTCCGCTACTTCGACATGAGCATCCTGGGAAAGTTCTCGGTCGTCATGGCGGACCCGCCCTGGGACATCCACATGGAGCTTCCTTACGGAACCATGTCAGACGACGAAATGCGGCAGCTCAACGTCCCGAGGTGGGCACTGTTTCCTATTGTGTTTTCTTCACCGAGCAACGCTGAAGGCTGCTGTACACCATTCTAGTAGGGTGAGAGGAGAGAGGGAAATGAGCCTCCACGTTTGGGCTGTTCTGGTGGTACGGCCCGCCGGAATTGCCCAAACGGTAGGAACGGCACCGCCCTTTCCCCCTCCTAACTCGCCGAATCGGTTGAAATTTCCGTGGGAGACGGCCGTTACGTCTGCTATCAGAATCGGATACGTGCCCTTTCCCTCTTTTACCCCAAGGATTCTAATGAAATTCCGTCCTTTCTCACTTCGTTAGTGGCTATGAAATTTTTTTGACATCCCCCCTCCCTAAAAACATTACTATATCTTAATCCTACAGATAGAGTCAGCAGGACACACAAAATGGACAGCGGGTATTAGGGGTGTGCCGACACGGACATAAGTTTAGTGTAATGCAGTGACGTCAGGCGGCACGATTACCCCACGGCGTCGAATGCCTCGGACGCGACTTCTGTCTCATATCAAGGTGCGGTGTAGAAGTGCCGGAAGAGAGCATGAGAGAAGTGAACGTTGCTGTCGTCGCTCCTTCACAAATTTTGGCTGCCAACTATGGCGTGGTCTATGCACCAAACATCTTTGATGAAAACCCTGCCGTTCTGGCTCGTTTCAGCCTGACGGACGACGGCCTGATCTTCCTGTGGGTGACGGGGCGCGCCATGGAGCTGGGCCGAGAGTGCCTCAAGCTGTGGGGCTATGAGCGTTGTGACGAGCTCATCTGGGTCAAGACAAACCAGCTGCAGCGCATCATCCGCACGGGGCGCACGGGCCACTGGCTCAACCACGGCAAGGAGCACTGCCTTGTGGGGGTCAAGGGAAACCCAAAGGTGGGTGGGGCCTCGGCGGGAGCCGGAGACGCCGCGCACCAACCAAACGTTGGTTGCGACGTTCGGTGGCCGGCAACTGTGGCAAAGAAGTGGAAAATAATAAAAATTTGAAGGAGAGGGCCGAAAAACGAGATGAAACGGGACAAGATAGACAGTTAAGACAAAATAGATGGACAAGAGAGGCATATATATACAGACAAAACAGATAGACATACGGGACAAGCAGGCAAATAGACTGCCAAAACAAAATAGAATGACAGGCTTCAACAGACAGGAGAGAGACAAATTAGAAGTATGAACTTACCGGAGGAAGTTAAAATTTGATATTTTGAGGTAAAAACAGCACAAACATACAAGGACGAAGAACAAGAAAAGATGAGACTCAGCGCTAAGTCCCGTCTGTTGTTGTTCTTCGTCCTTGTCCGGTTGCACTGTTTTTACCTCAAGATGCCAAATAACGAACTAGCCTTAACGAACCTTTTAAAATTTGAGTATAGCTAAATACTTGCATAGCTACCGTAAAATCCTGAGAGATGTCCCACTCTTGAAAGGTAACCCACCCCTATTGTTGGCTTGATTTGGTATTTTCTTTTAAACAGTGAAAGATAGCCCAATCCTAGTAATTGCGGTGTTGGGATCAATGATGACCTCGGCGTAAATGCGTCTAGTTAGCTATAGCGGGATTTAAGCAAACATTGCTGACTGAGAAGTACAGTCATCTTTGCTTTATTGCCCTGCTGTGATAACAAGTTTGACAGGGACACATGATCTTAAAATAGTATTTTTAAAGACTTTTCATGATTGCTCACTGAAGTTTAGTTTACCCCTTATCAAAATTTCAGTGATTGTAAATTAGTTAAATTTTTTTCAGTAACCTGTATCAACATAGTATGTTCGACCGCAGTTGCTTCCCAAGAGAATGTTGACGAAGGCACGAATTCCCATTGATTTAATTCTGACCGCAGCACTATATGTAAGGTTGTTCGTTTTCGGGTAAAACCCGATTTTACCCGATTTTTACTCCCCGAACATGTTTCAGGAGAATCGGGTTAAACCCGATTTCTCCCCGAATTCCAAAACCACCACACCAACATATTTATTTTTGCGCCACGTGGAGTTTGTGGTGCACACACGCTAGCTACCCTACCTTGGGACAACAGTGACCTATAGTTCTGATAAGACTGCTGACTGGGCGAGTAGGTACTTCATGTTGAATAATGTTACAGCGCTCCTCAAGAAAAACACTCACAAACACAGACACACTAAAAAAATATACACTCCCTCGGCTTTAGTTATTTTCGCAAGCTGTGTGCAGCACCGTGGACGCTACACGGCTCTCAACCGACCGCCCGACGAGCGAGCCTAACTCACCGTGATATTCTACGGAGGCCGGCTGAAGAAAAGCGACAATAGGCGTTGGGGCTTTGGAGGGACATTTCCGTCCCCCCGCCGTGCATCTGGAACCGCCTTGGCACGCCAGATAGCTTCGGCCCTGCTGCACGCAGCTTGTGAAATGCACTATCAATCCCCCTTCGACCGCTGTTAGGTCTCGACACCCAGCCTGGTCTCTCCGGTAGCATGGCCATCTCGCTGGCGGTCTACCTTTCTCACGAACAACGTCCGAGCCAGTCAGTCGGGGTAAGCAGATCTGGAAAACTTAACAGGTTTATTCCATAGCGAAATATATGATCGAAGACGACTGTCCCTCAAACGGTCCGGGTTTTTGTTGACACCTGAGGAAGAGGAGGATTCCCTGAGCGGTGCTTCCCCTGAAGCGACCGACGGGAATCGGACCAGCGGAGCTCTCTTCCAAGAGGAGCTTAACGTTCGGGAATGGCAAGACGACGATTATCCCCCCACACTCGAGTACTATAATGGGCTGGGGAGCTCGTAATACCCCCCAAAAACAATGAAATGAATGTATTACCGAGTATATTTGTAAATTTAACCCGAAAATATCTGAATTTCGAAATGTTTCCACAAAGAACCCGATTTCTCCCCGATTATCAGCTAGAAAAATTGCACCCGATTTTTACCCCCCCGAATTTAAAAATGTATAAAGTCAGAAAACGAACAACCCTAACTATATGTTACTGCCTCAAACTCTGCGCCGAAGAGTGTTGATTCAAAACAAAAGTGGGCCAATATCTTTTTCATGTTGGAATCTTAGCCGTTGGTCAGTAGTTGCAGTTCAGCTTGATATATCATGGGACACTGAAATTAATTGATGCTTAACTTGGTATACTCGTTTTTTTGTTTTTTGAGTAAGTATACTTTCATTAATTCAAACTCCAGGAAACCACAAAATTTCTTTGAATTATCCGAATTTTATCTGAATATGATGCAAGATAAAATTATTATTGGCCATATGAATGGTTGCACGTACAAACCAGATATGTGATCATTTCCACTACATAGGCCTACTGATCATAAGCAGGTATGCCACACATGAAACATTTGTAAAATGTATGACATAAGTTTTTTTGTCTCTTAAAAATGTTGTTTATCGTGAATGATTTAGACAGCACATAACAACTTAAAACAAAATTAAGTTTGTTTATCAGGCCAAGAAGTTGTTTAATGTGGACTATTAAGCAGGGACACATGAGCGATGAAAATGGATACCGCGCGGCAGTCTTCGTAGCAACTTGCACTGCCGCTGTGACAAGGACCTATGCCGTGCTACCACGTCACAGCGTCCGCGCAAGTTGCTATCAAAATTTTCGCGTGCTGCCCGTTTCCGTAGCTCATGTGTGCCCCGCTTGAGCCCCCCTTGAGTGCGCTTCTCACCTAGAACTGTTGCACTGCGGAGAAGAAACACCCGCGGAAGCAAGCTCCGCAGGTGTTGCTTCTCTGCAGTGCACTGGTGCCCGAAAAGAAGCGCACTCAACGGAGCCGCGAGAACAAAAAGTGTGAATTATACGAGAACGCCGCTCGAATTAAGCGGCTTATGAATACATTAAAAACATATCGGGACAACCAAATTTTGAAACTTGTTTGAATTAACCAGAGGTATGAAATATCCAAGTTTGAATTATCGCGAGCCTACCGTAACTGTAATTGGTTATATTAGTAAGAATGTCACTCTATCACTAATGTAATCGCTTTTCACCTCTGATAACTTTTAACTCTTTCTTTCTAAGAGAAAGTTTGACAGCTCTGGTCAGAACCAGGGTTTCATCAAGGCCTAGGTAAACCAGCCATGGGCCGAGGCCATGTCCGGGGGATGCGGAAGTGATGTAGAAAGATTATGCTACAGGCCAGGAAATACAGTTATCTATGCTTCCAGGTTGCAGATGCTGGAGAATGATTCAATGACTAGTATGCCAAAGCAGTTGCTTTCTAATTTGTGTATTCATACCTGGGAAGGCCAAATGCAACATCGCAGTTTGGGTGAACTTCCGCTCAGTGCTCCTTCATAGACCAAAACGACATACAGTTCATAATCAGGTTTCTTGAGTGATGCTTGCGTGAATATTTCACAAGTATTGAGAGCTTTTCTTGGTGAGACTTCACTGCCCAGGGTATTGTTGCCACCCTGCCAAAAATAATGAAAACAAGAAATATTGTAACAAATGACATTTGATGATGCGACGAAAACTGAAGCAAACCAAATGTTTAATGGGGCGAACTTGTGCCCAATACAAAATAGAAAAGGGCACGTGTCTAAGGTGTCAATGGTGGCAGAACAGCAGGATCGAGCGCTGGGGCGAGACTGACTGCGGCTCGCTACGGGAAGCCCCTTATGTACACTCGTTGGCTTCTGGAACAATCGGCGCAGAAGGTTCAACGCGTAGAACATTTGGACCTTGAACAAGCAACAAGATTCTCGAATTAACCAGAACAATAAACTGAAGGAATAAATAAAAGATACATTACTCCCAGGAATCGAACCCTCTGCCTCCGCACAAAAGTCAAGCGCGGTAACCATTCGGCCATCCACATGTTCGCTCGCTGACGTGCGTGGCAATATGAGCAAAAGTGAACTCGTCTTTAGAGCCATTTAACTACCTAGGTGTTCGCTGCTTGAGCAAGCTTCTTATCCAGTCTTACCTCAATCGTAAATGGATTTCCTTTAAGGGGGGACATGGGCCTAAATATTAAATTATTTTGAAAAAATTCATTTTTTAATTTTGAGGTTTTCAGTTTTAGAAACTAATTATACACCCTTACACCAAATTTGATGACCATACGCCAAATAGTTACGTTGATATGAAATATTTTCAACACATTGTGAGGCAGTAACAAAGTAAAGGAGTTCAATGTTTGAATGCATTTTTCTCAGTTCCACTTTTTGCTGCAAATTTCACACGAAGGAATCTTTTGTTTGAAGGTGAAAGTATTCTGTTACCACAATCAAGATGTTTCTGAACTGAAATTTACTCAGGAATCGGGCTATCTACTTTATTTTGTTTTAAGTTGAAGTCCTCAGTGAGAAAAAATTAAGTTTTTAAATATTGACAGATGACAGATATGCATCTCATAGTTTGAGGTAATAACTCTTCCTGAAATATTTACATTTAAGTTATTGAAACTAGATAGCCCGAGGTCCCATATCCCCCACTTTATATTCAAGCAGTCAAAATGGTGCTTAATAGCTTGATTTGCATATCATAGATTTCTTAATGAAAAGTGACACATCATCTTATGCAGGTATGCAAATTTGTCCTAGAGAGCTGAAAGTTTGCACAGTACACCTACATTTGAAGCTAAATCTCCCCTGCAAATTTCATTTCGATCAGTTGAGTAGTTAAAAAATTTTACCTCTAGCCAGTGTCCCCCTTAATTAAACCTTTTATTTAATTTTTCTATTTAAGCTATACACTCATTTTGCAGCAACACTCATGTGGCACTGGAGTCATAAGACGTGACAGGTAGCGCCCGCTATCTAGTATAGAATCCTCGTATATCTGAGGCATTCAGTAATTTCAGTTATTGGATCTAATTTTGAGCTTTTAAGTTTCTTGCCTAATCATGAATCAGTCCCCCTATTTAACCGT